CTTGAACTATCTGTAGCAGAAGTCTCATTTGCAATCAAGAAGCACAAACCAATTTTGCTAGCTGCTTTTGTCTATTATGTTTGCAGCAGGCTTTTGACAGTTGATTGCAGATGTATAATTATACCAAAAAAAATCAAAGAAAACGAGCGAGCAAAAGGGAGGGGAAAGGGGGAGAAGTCACCCCACCAATAAATGAGTCACAGCCTCATTTATTGAGCTGACTTTTATTGAATTTGCCACAAAAATCTGACATCGACATAATTTGTTAATGGTACTCATTCTTCCATCCAACAAACAGGCATGTGTCAACAACTTGCAGAAGGATTCCTTTAGCAATACAGTAAGGCTCAGTTATTGCATAATGCAATACAGTGGTACCTCGGGTTAAGAACTTAATTCGTTCCGGAGGTCCGTTCTTAACCTGAAACTGTTCTTAACCTGAGGTACCACTTTAGCTAATGGGGCCTCCCGCTGCCGCACAATTTCTGTTCTCATCCTAAGGTAAAGTTCTTAACCCAAGGTACTACTTCCGGGTTAGCGGAGTCTGCAACCTGAAGCGTTTGTAACCTGAAGCGTTTGTAACCCGAGGTACCACTGTACAGTATAGGACAATGTGGGGCATCTTTGCTGGTCTCATGCCCTCCATCATCTCCCTCTGGATAAGGTCCTAAAATAGTAAGGGAAAGTATGGATGCATGGAGGGTAAATTGTAAGCAAGCACAAGTTATGATATTACACATCAACAACCTGGATAAGTGCCCTGTATTGTTCCAGAAGTCAATTATATCACTTCTACACATTGTATTATAAGAGTCCTGCCATAGATTCCCATGCAGTGCAAGTTCTTTTGCAACTGCGTATTTATGACCCGTACAGAAATTAGGGGTGGTGTCAAAAGTGTATGTCTGATTATTTTGACACGCTTGAACTTGATGGGGTAACTTTCCCATCAAAGCCAAGTTGCAGAGTTGCTGCTGCCAGGCTGGCATCAGGGACTCGGCTATACAGCTGCAAATGAAATGTTTTAAGTGTGTTTTAAGTTCAATATACAATGTGATATTAGATGGTGATGGCCTTATGGAAAATTCAATGTAGTTTTAAAAACGCTTTTATATGTGTGTAGATTCCACCCAGGTTCACTGTCCTCCAGTGTTTGACTACAGTAAATGTTGCTGCTGTTAATATACATACAATTAAACTCACTGTGCTACAGCATTAAGTTGCACAACATTTGGCCTAACAAAAATGTTAATATTTAAACTGCTAAACACAAAGCATCTCATTTTTAAGGTGGGGGGGGGGAGGAGGCCTTTAAATCCCATTATATTCTGTTTAAAGGTCTAAACCAATCTGCCCCAGATCTGGGAGCCACCTTAAAAAAAGCTGATAATGACAAAAGTATTCTGCCTTCAGGATCGCCTGCTCTCTCTGGATTTGATATACAGATAGAGGTGATAGAGACAGAGATAGAGATTACCTCCAATATTGATAAAACAGCCCTACAGTATTTTCAACCTGTGAAATGATTCTGAGAAACACACACACACACACACACACACACACAAACGTAACTACCTTTATTAATATGTGCATATGTATAGATGTGGCCTTTTTGGTTTCTGAAAGATTACTTCTGAATTAACCTGCTTAAAACAATCCATTTTTAAAAGCTTAGTTTGAAGTTTCATCTATGCAGATATCCCTTTAATCTCACAATTGATTGCCTCATTCAGTAATAGTACTTGTCAAATTGCTGCATACATTTATTAACACAAAGCTCTAAAGACACCCCGTTCCTTCTGGTAAAACACTCAGAACAGCTTCCATGGTACAGGATTAATCTGTTAGCAATTACACTTACAGGGATCATTGTGTAATGTGCCACGGGGATTTGGTTTTGCTCCACTTAAAAAGCGTGACTTCCCTGCCACTGTGAAAAATACAAGCACAATAAATTATATTAAAACCAGAAATATGTTGCGACAATGAGGACGGTATCAGGAGGTAGAGGAAACGAAGGACTCCTGGCATTTCCAGAATGTTTCTTAATTATCAAGGCTGTAAAACATAAAACATTTGTAAAGTTGCAAACCTATGCATCATTTTCTAGGAATAAATGACAGCATCTTAATGTGACTTAGCACTGAGTTGATATGTTTAGGATTCTGGGGAACGACTGTGAACTGCTTGTGAGAAACATTTATCAGCCTAGTGCTTTTGATCTGAGGTTCTGTCTTTTGATGTGTATGTTTCTACTGGCTTGTCTTTGGAAAAAATGGAAAATTTGTATGCTGTATAGGAGGCTTGTGCATTATTGAGTTAATTCCACAGAACCTTTGAGAACCAACTGTTACATGGTGTCAGAAGTTGGTGTGGATTTCTTTTCTTCTTTTTCAGAGTTGAGAGTTTGTTGGTGCATTTTTGCACACACGCATTAGCTTCAGAGTGTGCAGCCTCTTGCCTGCACTAGTTTTACAACGCAAATTGGCTGATAATTGGATGGGAACAAGCTTTTCAACTATATTTGACTGCAGCTGGAGTTGATAATGTCAGTAGTCCTTGAACAATTTAGTGGTTTTTAAAATATTTATTTATTTATAAGTTGCAGGGGGTGGACCAGATGACCCTTGCGGTACCTTCCAAATCTACAATTCTATGATTTATACCCCACCTTTCTCCCTGACAGCAACTCAAGGCAGCCACAGAGCCTAGGGCTTGCTGATCAGAAGGTCGGTGGTTCGAATCCCCGTGATGGGGTGAGTCCCTGTTGTTCGGTCCCTGCTCCTGCCAACCTAGCAGTTCGAAAGCACATAAAGTGCAAGTACATAAATAGGTACCATTCCGGTGGGAAAGTAAACGGTGTTTCCGTGTGCTGCTCTGGTTCGCCAGAAGCGGCTTAGTCATGATGGCCACATGACCCGGAAGCTGTCTGCAGGCAAACGTCAGCTCCCTCGGCCAATAAAGCGAGATGAGCACCGGAACCCCAGAGTCATCCGTGACTGAACGGTCGGGGTCCCTTTATCTTTACCTTACTGTATATATACATTAAAAAATCTATTAAAACCATACAAATAATTACAATAAAAACAGCACGTCACAGCCCTTTCGTTAAAAGCAATTAGTTATTCAAATAAGGTGGAATGAGGTGGTGGAATAAGTAGGAGGACTACAAGGAAGGAGTTAATCAAACTTCTCTGGGAGCATGTTCTGAAGTCTGGGAGCAGCCACCAAGAAGGCCCTCTCCCTTGTCCCTACCAAGAATGCCTATGAGGGTGGCATGACCGAGAGAAGGGCCTTCCCTTAAGCTTCAAAACCCAGGCAGGTTCATATGAGGGAATATGGTCTTTCTTGTAAGAATGTGGTGCTTTAAATAGATTCCTTTTTGAATCATTCAGAGATTCATGGAGGTGCCATTGAACAGTTGGTTACTGAACTCAAATTTAATCTGGTAAACTGTGAATTTGGTCCTGCAATTCATGACGGTGTGAGGAATAAAATCCCATTCAGCTCAGTGAGGCCTACTTCTGAGTAGACATACTCAGATTGCACCATAAGCTACACATTGTATATATTAGTGGGTGTCCTCAGTGTTATTCTACGACTACATAGTTCTTGGGACTAAGAGCATTTACTCCACTGGGAAGCCTTTGGGAATGTCTCCTTTAGTTGCATATATTTTCCATTTCATGTCATCCACAGAATTTGCCTAGATGACTGCATGAGAAAAAGCATGGGTAATTTAGATTCAGGTGCTCCTTTTCCAGTAAATTTAACCCATCTGATAAAATACCTACCCATCTGTGCACTGATAGGATTCCTTCCAAACAGCTATTGGAAAGTTATATTGGTTCTTGCTTTGACTAATGAAACGTTTAGCATATATATAATTTGTGTTAAGAACCATTGGGCTGAGAACACTGTAGAGTTTCTGTAAAACACACAAAGCCAAGAAAATGATGGGGGATATAGTTCCATCTTATTAGGTATGGCTATCCTCAGCCATTCTAATTATAGCTAAACCTTGCTGCCATCTTGCGTCTGAAATCTGCAATTTATTTTTCTTATTAAAAACAGAAAACCCAATATCCTAGGGGCTTTCTGCCACATAAGGTACTTATTAGCTTTGTGAGGTAAACATACCTGAAACAATGAGAGGGCTTCCCAGCACTGAGGCAACAAGATATGATGCAGCTGTGAGAGGAGGAAAAAAGAAAGCAACTACAGTAATGCTGTAGTTAGAGCAAAGATGGGGAACCTGGCAGTCTTTGCTTCCCAGTTTTGAGGTAGTGTGTGTATGTGAATTTGCACAGTGGTGGTGTTTGGGGGGGAAATCAAAATGAAACAAAGCTTGTGGTACATATAGTGGTAAATTCTCACCCAAAGGACTAGCCACTACTGCAAATGCAAGTATAATAAAGCTCAACTCCATTGGGCAAAGCATCACTGTCCAAAAGCAAAGAAAATGTTGCTGGGGGGGAGGGAGCGCTTTGGGTGATTCTGCGGGAAAGATATTGTCTATAGATGCGTTAATATTAATTTGTAGTTAATGCATTATAACAGATGGTACCTTTGCACTTGCAAACACCCAGTTTCAACCCAACCATCATCATCATTAATATTATTATCCTGCCTTTTTCCCTGACGGGACCCAAGGTAGCTTACAGATAAAAACAAGAACCACTAAAAACATAGGAAAAAACCATCCATTAAAACACAAGCAAATATTAACAGAAATAAAACCATATACATATATGAAATCCGCCTTAAAGGCATATCAATGATTACAATCAATTGTACAGTAGCGCCCTCCTGCGAATTCTCATCCTAGGTATAATACAGCAATTAATCATTATTATTACAGTATTTAAATTGCCATGCACACACTGAGGGTTCCCGCCCCCGCTCCATCCCGAGATGCAGCGATTGGCTGCGGAAAGGAGGCTCAGGAGTTTCCATTGGTCGGAACGCACGTGCCGGGGAAGGTGGGCGCAAACAAATACGGAGAAGAGCTGGAGCTCGCGCTGGCCGGTGACTCGGAACTTGGCCGGTTTGCGCCGCGCGGGGCAACGCGAGGTGCAGAAGGAGGGAGGGAGGGAAAGAGGGCGGAGAAGATGGCGGCGGCGGCGTCCTTCCCGGGCGCTTCCGCCAAGAGCCGAGGCAGGTTCCAGCAGAAAAGCCCGTTCGGGGGCGGCTGGCAGCGCGGAGCCCCGCCGCGACGGGTGTTGAGAGACGCCGGCTCAGGTGGAGTGTGCGAACAAAACGCTCCTTCTTCGGAGGAGGAGAGGGTTTTACAAGGGGCAGCGGGTTAGAGAACTGGGGGTTGCAAGAAAACACCACCACCTCGTTTAATCCGGGGCAGGCGGCTTGCTTGCTTCCGAGTAGGCGAGGCTGCGGCTCGGGACCCCGCGCAGCCGCATCCTAAACACTCGCAAACGGGACCTGTTGAGTTCGGGAAGGTTTGCGGTGGCGTTTTGTTGCTTGGCTCGAGCAAGCACGAAACTACGGTTCGTTTCCTCCCTGGAGGACAAAACTCTGCACAAAACACCCCTTGGGTGGGGATGCCCCGTCTTCCCTCCGCAGCAGCATTTGGCTGGAAAACCATCTCATTTCACGCCTCCTCCCGTTTCCCTGGAAGAAAAGCAGGCCATCTGGGTCCTCTCTTTTTTCCCTTTCCCCGACACGCGACGGGCATGTTCAGACGAGGAGCGAGAGGCCGCCTCAGTCGGCCGCCATCTTTCCAGCGGCGAGACCCGACTTTTTAATTATGAAGTTCTTTAGGTCACTTGACGCAAATGTAAAACCATATATTACCTCGGAGCTCTACTTGGCCCCTTCGTTTGTGATGGAGCAGGATTTGTGTAGGGATCGAAACAATGAAAAAAGACTAATCTATAGTCGGAAAATTAGTATATTCTTCTGTTAGGTTAGGCCCTCATCCGCCCACAGTTGCTTTAGGTTTGGGTCCCAGCGCAGCGATTCTTAAAATACAGAAAGCTCTCAGGCTGTTAAATTGTTGTGGGGTTGGGGTGTTTTTTGGGGGGAGTTGGGGTGTTTCTTATCAATTAACTTTCAGGGCCATCTGTAAATAATGCTAGGTGTTCCTTTAGACTTCTGGAAAACCTTACCTACAATGGAAGTTGGCCTTGATTTTTAATTTATAAGCATATGGCATATTATTTCCTGCCTTCCAAACCCTATCCTATGCATTTTTACTCACAAGAAAGTCTGTGTTTTCAGTGGGGTGCTCATGTAAGTAGCACAGGATTGCAGCTTTTGACTTCGGTAGAATGCAAACCCAGATGATTTATGTGAGGGAGAAGTCAACCAAAGGCAAAACCTGTAATTTCTTACTCAACAATGCTTCCAGGTTGCTGTTGTTTTTGGGGGGGACAGGGGGTCAGTATGTATAAGCTAAACAAGCTATAGCTTAGGGCCCTACTCTCTGGTGGGCCCCCAAAAAATTTAAAGGGAAAAAAGCTGGATGTACATTTCCAAAATATAAGATAAGACAAATAAAATAAAACCTACATACAGCAACAGTGTTTTGTGTTGTGTGGGCTCCTATGATGTAAGTAATGGACCCCGCCCGTTGGCCTGCTTCCTAAAATATCACTGGTTTGCTCATTTATATATAGGGTTCCTACATTCTGCATGGACTGGTTGCATGGCAGCATGTGCAAATGGCTTTAGATACCTATTAGGTTCATAAATTACCATATAGCATATATTCAATGCAAAAAACAGCAACAATTTTTTGTTGACAAAGGACAGCTGGACATATAAAGGGCCCCATTACCTTCAGTAGCTTAGGGCCTTATCAAACCTAAATCTGGCCCGAGGGGGGGGTCTTTGGGCAAATTCAGGCTGTGCAGTTATTTGATTGGCAGTTCTTTCACAACAAACCTACTTCCCCAAGAGAGAAAACTTGTTGCAGTAAGGAACGTGATGAGAAAATTCACTGGAAAGTGGGAAAACACTTAAATCCTGTGTGACTGTTCATTGAGTCTCCAAAATCATCTAATCTACCTGTGAACAGATAAGGTAGGATGAGTGCTCAATAAGTACATTTTCTGGAAGTGCCGTAACTATTCTGTCTCCTCCAATTCCTCCCTCATCTTGACCAGCCAAAGACCTATGGAAACATGGAAATTGCTGTTTTCAAACTTCAGTGCTTGTTGTGTTACTCTAATGTGTGTTAATTTGTTTTAAATAATAAGAGCATTCATATACTAACTTGTTTTTGCGTCTCTTTATTTTCTTCTTTTTAGACTTGCAGATTCAGAATTCCAACAGGGCTGGTGCATATGATAGCTATACTTCACAAGTAATTGATTTGCTTTCTTTGGGGATATATGGGATCAGGGCAGACTTAAAACTTTCAAATTTCAGCAGTGCCCTGTGCAAGGCCAAAATTTGGCACCTCACCTCTCTCCTTCCATTCTGCTCCACTCACTGTGTCATAGTTGTGACGCCTGCACTGCCCCCTAGGTTGCACTGCCCTAAATCGGCCTCTGATGGGATACTAACAAAATTAAACCTGCAGCCAAATGTTTTGTCGGAGAATAGCTTAAGAGTACACGGGTAGGACATTGTCAGTTCTCATGTTGTCTCTACTGTCTCCTTTCCTGTTCTGTTGCTGACCTGGAACAGAAATAAAAATATAAGCAGCAATCTAAGAAAGATTGGATCCAATAGTGTTGAGTACTGTACTGGAAATTGTACTAGGAAGTATTGAAATGAGTACTGTGAACTTTTCCATTCCTTTCTTGTAGGTGACCTTAGATTTTGAACAAAAAGTCCGTCTTAGGAGTCTGCAAAAATATAAAAGGTAAATCTGAGGGTGTTTTGATGATTCGAAGCGAAGGGGGAGTTGGCATGTGGGCCTGAAACATATTTAAATTTTAATAATAGCTTTTTTAGTAAACTTTTTTTATTTCATCATTTGGCTCTTAAAATGCTGTTGTTTACAAGGAAATCCGTTAAGATTTTGTTCAGTTGGTGAAATATTTAATATTTAGTGCTGCTGGGTTCTGTGTACCGAAGAAACTAAGAAAATGACATTTTAGGCTGCTGCAACTTATTCATTCTGCCAAAGTTTTTTTCTTGACTCCCTATAAAATTCCAATCAACCCATTTTACCTTTTTAGGCTTTCATCAGGATTGTAATTCTATGTTCTATCTCTAAAAATGTGAGGGTAAATAGCTTGGTCTTGTTTTAAAAAAAAAAGTTTGAGGCGACAGTAAAAGGTTATTAGTTACTTTACAAAATTTATTTACCGTATTTTTTGCACCATAACACTCACTTTTTTCCTCCTAGAAAGTAAGGGGAAATGTCTGTGCGTGTTATGGAGGGAATGCCTACGGGTGGCATGCCTACGGATTTTCCTCCTCTAAAAACTACGTGCGTGTTATGGTCGGGTGCCTGTTATAGAGCGAAAAATACGGTACTTCATTGCAGCAAAACTCCTTAGTTTACAAGAAACCTTAAAATTATAAGAAAAGTTTAAAACAATTAAAAACATTTATAGTTTATTAAAATTAGCAACAAAAAAGAATATTTCAGAAGAGCATGTGTCCTCCCCCAATAAGATTTTATTAAAGCTTTTTCATGATACAGTAAGATAAAATAAACCAGTCTAATTATAAACAAAAACAGAAAGAGAAAATAGTGTCCTCAAAGGTAGCTCTTAACCCTTGTCTCACACAGAAAGTAGTAAACCTGCCCACCTCTCACCAAGGGGCTTTCCTTTTTTCCTCCAGTCTCTCCCTCTGGGAGGTCTTCCCTTCTCTTCCCTTCCCTTCCCTTCCCTTCCCTGCCTCTCACTCAGAGTCCATCCATCCACCCACCACTCTCATGTTTGTGTAATCCTTGGACCAATAATGGCCCAGAGCAAAGGACACAAAAGAAAGAGAAGAAAAAAGGAGCAAAAAGCAAAGAAAGGAAAAAAGGGCCGTTATAAATTATAACAATCTTAGAAATGATTAAGGGAGACTTTTGCAGATCCAATGCCCATCAGGGCTCTTACAAGGCTTTTGGGCAAGATGCTGATTCCTATGCTTAAAAGTCACTTAACCCCATCAGGGTTCTCAGGAGCTGACAGCTTCCTGTTCTCTTGATGCAGAAAATGGCTTTTTCAGAGCACCAGCGGTTAATCCCCTGTAAACACTTTTTTCCAGACTGAATTCGATAGCCAAGATTTATGTCTGGCTATCATCAATTGCCACATAATTTATCTGTCGGCAACGTTCTGACAAAAGACGTGTAATCCACTGTGTTCCTCCCCTAGAAGTCGGAAGAGATGTGTTATTGAAGGTATTATTTTTGTTAAGTAATATAACAATTTGATTTTTAGGTTTAATACTCAAAGCATCAATCAGCCGATTAACTCTGCTCACTGGACTCCAGCTCACTATCTAAGATCAGAACCATCTACAGCAGATATGGTATGTAAACGATCTTACTCTGTTTTGTGTCTGCTTAGTAAAGTGTTTCAAATTAAGTGTAACTAAATTGGACTAGTGATAATGACATTTTGTGAGTTGAAGAAATATTTGCTAAACTTCTGTGTTGTTGGACTGCTGGTAAAAAGCACAGCAACAAAGTGATGCCTTTTTGGAAATCACTGGGGGCTAGAGAATTAAGAGACCGGATACTGATATTTTTCTCCATCAATTTTGGTCATTTAATGTTCACCACTACTGGTGACAATTTATTTTGCAGTGTGACAGCCTTCTCTGATTCTTGCCCCCCAAATGTGTTGTAGCATTTTTTAGAAAACATTGCATTGTCTTTTTAGCCATTTACATAAGTGGAGATCAATGATTATTCAAACTCATTGTACTCCATAATGTGTTCTGGGTTAAAATATGTCACCTTGAGAAGATTTCTCATTCTCCTGAGAATAAAGCACCTACATTTAATAGTTATATTACTGTCACTAGATTTGGGGCAGTTCAGTGTCCTGTTTTAACTTGTTGTTTGGTGATTGTCGGTTGGCTGTAGTGAACTGAGATGTCAACTCCCAACAGTGGAGAAGAGGAGAGCAGAACCTTCAAAGAATTAAATGGATAAAGGAGCAAAATAATCCTGAAGAAAAGATGCCAAGGCTTTGAAACAGCCGCCTTAGATGAGAGCGTTTCATAGTCTTGGCATCTCTTCAGAAATATGTCTGGATTTTTTGAAAGAAGTGATTAACAGCTCTGCATTCATGAATGAAAAAACAATTGTGTGGAAAGCTTACAGGGTGTTAGTTGTTTTTTTTTTAAAAAAAGAATGAAATATGAACTGTTAAAGAGATAACCTTGTAGTGACTATACCACATTATTAAATGATTAACCTGAGGGTATGGATTCTTGATTTCTACTCTTTTGAGATACTCCGGTTTTATTTTTAGAAACCCTGTCTGCTACTTGTTGAAAACAACATACACATGCATTTTAAAAAAAAGATAATCAAAATTAATTGAATTACAGTGCTATGAGGGCCTTTGTTTAAAGCAGCTCTCTCTTCTAATTATATTGTTATCCTTTTATTTTCCCCAGAATAGCAAAATTCTACAAGAGATAGAGAAAGCTTTGGAAGTAGCTAAAAACAATCTTGGGTGGTTAAAGAGTGCGGAGGAGGTAGGCCAAAAGAATTCTGTGTCTTGGCTTGAAGTATTTCAGATTTTAGTTTATACTGAGGTCTGTTCCCAGAAATTCTTTCTCTAACAATACTTCAGCAAGGTGCTATAAAATTTAATGTCAGCTCAGCTCCAGGTGTTTTTGGAGGATACCAGTTATTTTAGATCTTCACCCTGGCTTCTTTCTGGTTTTGAAACAACTTCATTGGTTGCCCTGAAACCCCCAGAGATCTTCGGATTATTACTAAAAATGCTTTGAAGTGAGCAATGAGAGTGGGTCCCTGTGGCTCTCCTGGACTTTTCACTGGCTTTTGATCCCATCCATCATAGCATCCTCCTGGATCTCCTGGCTGGGAGGGGAGGCATTGTACTGCATTTGGTCCTGGTCCTTTTTGAAGGGTAGCTCTCAGAAGGTGGTGTTTGGAGCTTGCAGTGGCAAGCCTAAGGTATCTGTATGAAACCACTGCAGAGGTCATCCAGAAATCTGGAATGTGATGTCAACAGTATGCTGATGATTGTTCTATGTCTCCCGGCCTCTAGAGTGAGATGGGCGCGCAACCCCAGAGTCGGACATGACTGGCCCGTACAGGCAGGGGTACCTTTACCTTTACCTTTTACAGACAGGATGGAAGTACTGTTGAGAATTAGTCTGAAGCAGGATAGAGATACAGCATGTATTGGAACAGAGTTGCAAATACCCATAGGACTCTGTGTTGTAGTCTTGGGCTTCAGGCTGCATCTTGATGTTCAGGTAGAGACTGTTGTGAAGACTGTATTTTACCATTTTAGACGTGCTTAGCAGCTTTGTGTTTTTCTAGAGAAGACTGCAGCCACAATAATTTATACCCTAGTAACATCCACATTAGTTCTAAATTGCGATTATGTATTAATATTTTCTGCCTGCTCTTTACCATAAGGTTCCAGGGCCAGCTACAACAATATAGTATACATATATAGTATACCGTATTTTTCGCACCATAGGACGCACTTTTTCCCTCCTAAAAAGCAAGGGAAAATGTGTGTGCGTCCTATGGAGCGAATGCAGGCTTTCGCTGAAGCCTGGAGAGTGAGAGGGGTCGGTGCGCACCGACCCCTCTCGCTCTCCAGGCTTCAGGAAGCTATCCGCTAGCCGTGGGAGACCCAGCTCTCCCACCGCTAGCGGAGCGCAGCATTAATCCCAAAGCTTGGGGCGTTCGGAGCGCAGCGCGCCCCAAGCTTCTGGGTGCAAGCAGGGTCTCCGCTAGCCCTGGGAGAGCCCCGCGACGTCGCGCGGCTATCCCAGGGCTAGCGGACCACTGCGCTAATCCCGAAGCTTGGGGCATGCGGAGCTCAGCGCGCCCCAAGCTTCTGGGTGCCGGCAAGGTCTCGCTAGCCCTGGGAGAGCCCCGCGACGTCGCGCGGCTCTCCCAGGGCTAGCGGACCGCTGCGCTAATCCCGAAGTTTGGGGCGTGCAGAGCTCAGCGCGCCCCAAGCTTCTGGGTGCCGGCAAGGTCTCGCTAGCCCTGGGAGAGCCCCGCGACGTCGCACGGCTCTCCCAGGGCTAGCGAAGCGCTGCGCTAATCCCGAAGCTTGGGGCGTGCAGAGCTCAGCGCGCCCCAAGCTTCTGGGTGCTGGCAAGGTCTCCGCTAGCCCTGGGAGAGCCCCGCGACGTCGCGCGGCTCTCCCAGGGCTAGCGGACCGCTGCGCTAATCCCGAAGTTTGGGGCGTGCAGAGCTCAGCGCGCCCCAAGCTTCTGGGTGCCGGCAAGGTCTCCGCTAGCCGTGGGAGAGCCCCGCGACGTCGCACGGCTCTCCCAGGGCTAGCGAAGCGCTGCGCTACTCCCGAAGTTTGGGGCGTGCGGAGCACAGCGCACCCCAAGCTTCTGGGTGCCGGCAAGGTCTCGCTAGCCCTGGGAGAGCCCCGCGACGTCGCACGGCTCTCCCACGGCTAGCGGACCGCTGCGCTAATCCCGAAGCTTGGGGCGTGCGAGCTCAGCGCGCCCCAAGCTTCTGGGCGCCGGCAAGGTCTCCGCTAGGCTAGCGGAGACCTTGCCGGCGCCCAGAAGCTTGGGGCGCGCTGAGCTCCGCACGCCCCAAGGTTCGGGATTAGTGCTCTGCTAGCCATAGCAGCCTGCTTCCCGGAGCGTCGGGCGCCCTGAAAGCAGAGCTCCAGGCGCTTCGGGAACACATCCGCAGCGTGGGGAGGCTTGCAGGAGTTCCCCACAGGGCTCCCCACGCTGCGGATAGCAGCCTGCTGCCTGGCGGGTGGGGCGCCCTGAAGCAGAGCGCCCCTCGCGCCAGGCAGACATCCGCAGAGTGGGGAGCCTTGCAGGAGTTCCCCACAGGGCTCCCCACGCTGCGGATAGCAGCCTGCTGCCTGGCGGGTGGGGCGCCCTGAAGCAGAGCGCCCCTCGCGCCAGGCAGACATCCGCAGAGTGGGGAGCCTTGCAGGAGTTCCCCACAGGGCTCCCCACGCTGCGGATAGCAGCCTGCTGCCTGGCGGGTGGGGCGCCCTGAAGCAGAGCGCCCCTCGCGCCAGGCAGACATCCGCAGAGTGGGGAGCCTTGCAGGAGTTCCCCACAGGGCTCCCCACGCTGCGGATAGCAGCCTGCTGCCTGCCGGTTGGGCGCCCTGAAGCAGAGCGCCCCTCGCGCCAGGCAGACATCCGCAGAGTGGGGAGCCTTGCAGGAGTTCCCCACAGGGCTCCCCACGCTGCGGATAGCAGCCTGCTGCCTGGCGGGTGGGGCGCCCTGAAGCAGAGTGCCCCGCGCGCCAGGCAGACATCAGCCAGCCCCACAAGCTCGGGGGACAGCAGGGAGGCGCAGCGCCACTATCCCGCTGTTCCTCGACCTGGTTCGGTTTCCCTGACCTGCTTTTGGGGGGGAAATAAAGGGAATTTTTTTTCCCTTTATTTCCCCCCCAAAAAACTAGGTGCGTCCTATGGTCCGGTGCGTCCAATCGTGCGAAAAATACGGTACACTTATTAATGCAAATAAAATGGTTGCAATCAGTACAGTTCAGATTCAGGAAAAGAGATTGGGCCCCACAAAATAAACACCTTAATTGTCAAATGCCAGGCGGAGGTGGGCCTTCAGTATAGCTATGCAACAAAGATGTCTGATGCACCTCTATATGGGGTGGAAGTTTCCCAGTTTATGGGTTGCCATAGATAAAGGCCCCTCATTTCCTGCACTCCTGTGGGTGGTAGAACTACCTAGAGAGTTTGGGTCCTAAGTCAATTTAGGGCTTTAAACACCAATGTGCTGGAAACATGGTGCACAGTGCCACTTGCCAGGGTGTTAAATAAGGAAGGCTGCTTTAACAATTGCACTGTGTTGGAGGGTTCTGTGTTTGTTTTAAAGGTTAAAACCATCCTATGCAGTATACTGGGCAGCATACTGAGGGCCACATACCAGTGATGGGTAGGGCCACAAACAAAAGTAGGCAAAACAATTAAATTTTACTTTTGCACAACAGTGTTCACACACCCTTCTCTAGCCTCCATTCAGACAAGCAAGGGCACATTCCAGCCAGGCAGAATCAGGGCTCATGGGATAGTTCCAAGGGCCAGATAGAGGGACATGGGGGCCTGAGTTTCTCAACCATTACCTTAAACTGTCTGGGTCTGCAATACTTTATTTATTTATTTATTTATTTATTTATTTATTTAATTTATATACTGCCCTATACACAGAGGTCTTAGGGTGGTTCACAGGAAATATCACAATATATAAAAAACAAAAACAAGGGAGTTCTGTCTTCCCATTTGAAGAGACCTGCATATCATCATCTTCCATTGAAGCCCCGGATGCACTAGCCATAAAAAAAAAAATTGGGATTGGACTTTCTCAGAGGTAGCACCAAACTTTGGACCTTCCTCCCTAAGGAAGTTTGTCTTGCTTATTTGCTTTTCCAATATAGGGCTGTTCTGAAAAGAGATTTTGTCTTCATCATTGTATTAACTGTGACTGTACTGTAAGTCCTGATAATTTTTTACCAGTTGTATTGTGACTTATATAATACTGTGAGCAGCCTTGCTGATTCCTGAATCCAAAGGCAGAATAGAAATCATTTCTTAACATTAATAATTTCTACTGCATTGTGCACCATTAACTGATGTTTTTGTGTGTTGTCCAGTGATGAAGGAATACTTAAAAGTTGCTGGAGTACCTTTAAACAGTTGGGTACTAATAATTATTTGCTCAACCTTATATGTTACATCATCCATGTAGCCATTATAAAATATGAACCTCAACCTTGTATTCTTGTACATCACTACTTCTCAACTACTGCCACCATGTGAGAGAAAAGGGGGGAAGGTTGTTCCTGAAAGTTATATGCTGCTTTTATTATTTGTAAATCTAGTTCTGCTGGCTATAGAGCACATACAGAATTACAGGTTGTTGTTTTGTCACCCCCCCCCCCCAAAATGAAAAAGATGCTTGAGGATTTGATCACCGAAGCAAAAGAAGAAGAAAGCAAGATTGCAGGTGTTATTAATGACACATTTTCAGATATTATTGCTTCCATAAATTCAAGGTAACCTGGTTTAAAGCTTTTGCTTTGATGTTAATAATTTATCTGAAAAGTATTACATAACTATAATAATGCAGATTTCTGTGTGGCAAAATGTTTAGCAAAATGCCTGCTTCTGTGACGTGGGAGGGACAATATGTAGCAGGAGTCCTGGAAGGACACAAGGAATCTGTGAGCTCAGATCCATTGTTTACCCTTCCATGGAGTTGCTATCGGCAAAGACCTGACCATCAAGTTTCAGGGTAGATTTTTACCCTTGCTGTAATTGTCGTTTAGTGCAATACTTCGCTATATGCCCGTATGAATTAAAAGGCAGTTGCATATTCAAAACAAGAATGTTTCAAAACATCCACCTTTTAATTTTCCTCCTCTTGCACCTCTCTCTCTTTTTCCCCTATGATTTTTACAGTTTCATTTGTACTACAGTAGTTGGTTGTTGTTTGGAGTGCTATGGATGCTTGCAGCTTGCAAGTCTTGTGCCCTTGAGCATTTAGAATGTGTTCAGCATGAACACGTGTTAAGGATGCATTTTGTGTGGTATATGCAGTATCAGTCAGTTGCTTGTTATGAGGACAATAGGTGATAGTTATCCAGCCTTAATCATACTCAAGAAATCCATTGAGTGCACTCATTGTAGTAGATCTACTCTTGAGTATGGCTTTGTTATCATCCAGTAAATATAAATCTGGCATTTTCTGTAGTTTGTAATTTTAATATCATCACCAAAACCTTATTTTTAACATGAGTACTGTATGTTTGTTTTGTATAGTTTACTATTCAGAGTTATTATTCGTAACGTGATCAACTTTTTCTGAGGTCTGATTTTCTTTGTATTCAATTAGGAAAAGGAAACTGGAGACAGAACTGATAATGAACACCAGTTACTATATAACTGATATACATAGTGTTCAGTTATCGGTTATGCAGAAAATAAACAGTTTGGATGGAGCCATAAAAATGGCAAGGGAGATTAAAGCAACCCATTCCTTAAAGCCCTTACCATAATTTAAATCAGGTAACTTTAATATTAAATCATTTGATTCCTTAACTTTCCTTCTGGGTATGTATGTATGTATGTATTTACTTACTTATCTATTTGAAAGTTTTATATCCTATTTTCAGGAAACAAATCTTTTCAAAGCACTTCTCAGTAATGCAACCACAATTTTCAACAACCAGATGACAGCAGTGCAGCTACTGCAGTTTGCAAGCATTGTTGGTAGCCCAACATTTTACATTAGCTTTTTTTATCAATTTAGCACACGAATTGAACTCATTTGCTTATTGTGGTAATTTGCAAGCCAGTTAAGTCTTCATATAGCTGACTGAAAACAAAAACGTGTCTTTAAGCAAGTGGAAATAATGAACTTTCTCCATTAGTCTTTAATTTCTCATGTCAGATTCTTCCTCTTTGGCTTGGTTTTTATTTTTACTGAATTGTTTTTTTACGGAAAGCATTCTCTTTTTGATGAAAAGTCACAGCAGTTTAGTGTGATAGAAGCATTCAAGGTAGGATCATTTGATTTAGGTCTGTAGCCTCAGCTAGTTTTTCAGGGTTCTTTCAGTTCCTTTATTCCTAAAGCCACTGCACATTTTCATAGATCTTAAGAGCTTACCATTTTTGTCCCAACCCTTTCCATCCCTCTGAGAAGGCATGGCAGAAGCTGGATGTGCACAGAGCACTTAAAATACATATACAGTGGTGCCTCGGGTTACATACGCTTCAGGTTACATACTTTTCAGGTTACAGACTCCTCTAACCCAGAAATAGAACCTCGGGTTAAGAACTTTGTTTCAGGATGAGAACAGAAATCGCGTGGCAGCTGCAGGAGGCCCCATTAGCTAAAGTGGTACCTCAGGCTAAGAACAGTTTCAGGTTAAGAAAAGACCTCCAGAATGAATTAAGTTCTTAACCCAAGGTACCACTGTAGACAGATTTTAGGCATTCACCCCCTTTCACACCACTTCCTCAGAGAAGTACAGTGGTACCTCGGATTACAAACAGCCCTGTTTATGAACAATTCAGTTTATAAACTCCACCGGCGGCAGGAGGCCTCATTAGGGAAAGCGTGCCTCAGTTTAAGAATGGATTTGGTTTAAGAACGGACGAAAGGAACAGATCAAGTTCGTAAACCGAGGTACCACTGTAGTTTCAAGGTTCATCCTAGCCCAGGGGTCTGCAACCTTTAAGACAAAAAGAGCCACTTGGACACGTTTCCAAAGAAAAAAAAACCTGGGAGCCGCAAAACCATTGCGACATTTAAAGCATGCGTGCCGCTGCCCTCCGATCTGACAGCAGGTGGGAAGGTGACGTCGGGACGGTGCGTGACTAACGCACGCACTGCCCCCATGCGACATCACAGCCAGTACAGCGCCCGCCACAGTGGGGAGTGTCGGGGCGCACAATGCGCCTCCTCCCCTCGCTAGTATCCGCCCTGGAGCCGCGGCAAAGGTGTAAAAGAGCCACATGCGGCTCCGGAGCCACGGGTTGGAGACCCCTGTCCTAGCCAGTTCAAGACTTATTTCTCTACAGCATATTAGGCCTGGCATCTGCCTTCACCTTTCCTAAGTCATGCTTGACCAGAGCATCGGCTACTTCTGCAGCCTTTCCACGATCATCCTTTCTGAAATCTTTAGGGCAGCAATGTGGGCACCAGCCAGGACTTGTTGTTTCCTTTGAAATTGTTTCCTTTGAAATCCAATGGGACATCACTAACTTCACACTAACTCTCCAGCGTTCAAGACCACGTTCAGCTCCCACTAGTTGCTGTATTTTACTGTAAATTAAATTAGGGTGTTCTTATTCTAGGTTCTCTGCAACTTAAAAATGACTTTGGAGGAAGAAGTCTTAAAACTAGATCGTCTGAAAAAAAGGGCACTTCCAAGGTAAACTTTCATAGAATTACTTAGTGTGGATAGCAGAGTTACTGCACCTTTAAAAATATTGCCATACTGCACCTTTTAAAAAAAACCCATACTGAATTTGTAGAACTGATAAATAAAATTAAGAGCTTCATAGACTTCACTCAACCCTTTGCAGGAGGTCTGGAGTTCAGCATGCTATATGGGGGATCTATCAGCCTGGTGCATTAGAAATGTTTTGGACTACAACTCTCATTAAGTCCCAGTGAGCATGCAGATCGCCCCCTCCTCAGCCCTTAAATTGATGGCTTGATAACTGGAAAATGGGTGGTCCCCCTCCCATGTTAGTTGACATGCATAGATTAACTGAGTGGGAGTGTCTCTGCATGCGCACACATGCACATGGACATACACTGGTGGCCACACCCACTGCTGGCATGCAGCTCCCAGAGGTTTGGCCAAAGGTGAATGTCTGTGGTTGAGCCAAAAAAAAGGTTACCCACCATGCCTTCACCTAAATACCCCCTCCTGGACTCTGAGATCTGGGAGAGATGATCCCATCAGCTTTCCACCTTTTAGGGAATAAGTTCTACTTACTCACAGAGCAGGGCATTCTTGGTAGCGTCAGTTAATCTGTAAAATAAGACTCACTAGATACGCTTGGCAGTCACACAACACTGCCAATTTTGGCATTTCACTGGATGCTTTAAAACATTTTTAAAAAGCCAACCGGGAAGGCTTTTAGAGCAGGAGTTTCTTAAATGGTTTTTACTGTTAACACTTTTTACTGCTGTATTTATTTGTGGCGTACATGGTGGTGGTTATCGCGTGTTTTTGTTTTTTGGGAGTAATTCTGATTGTGGGTTTTTGCAGTTTAAACCTGATTGTGATCTTGAGGCATTAACATAAAATTGTTCTATGAATGTAGTAAATGGATTTATGGTGTTAACAAGTTGCTGTTGTCCTGAATGAATTATTGTGGTTGGAAACAATTGAACTTCCTGTACATCTAATACAGGTTTCACATGGACTCTGAAAAGATTACCCCCATGTTAGAAAACCTGGGGAATTTTTTCCCTGATATACCTAACATGTAAGTACTTCTGTTGTGGTGTTAATTTTCCTATATATAAAAAAATGGCACCTGCAGGTTTATCAATTTTCTCAGCATTCATCATTGTGCGTCATCTGGTACTTCAGTAATATGGGATATTTTTTATTTGGAAATCTGCTGGGGTAGAAACTAAGCAGTTTACTTAGAAACAATACAGAAATAAACTGGAGAGTAATGCTCAAATAGTTCTGAGGTTCTGATCATGAATAGGATTTTTGATAGCTTGGATATAATCGGAAAACCTTATGAGTTTTGTAGTCATGAATTATACTTAAAAATTGCTGAGTTGCTATGTAATGTGCAAAAATAATAATTAAAAGCCTAGGACTTGCTTACTATTAATACACCATGTTTTAGGATGCAGTTTTTCCAAGGTTGTGTACAAGTAATATTGATGCTTTAAAAAAAACCAAAAAACAGTAAGTAATAATATACAGCAAATCAAAATGATACCTTTTACTAGTCATTTAGTAGTAGATAGCCCTGTGATGGCGGGGAAGACATCCTAGCTGGAGCAGGCTGTAGAAACTTACACATGCCAACAAGTAGATCTTAAGATATAACCTAATATCTGGAAAATTAAAACCTCTTTCTGATCCTAGCAGCTGCATTCTCTTATGTGACAAGCAGGGTGGTGAGTTACCCTGCATAAAACTTCCAAAATGTCCCTTTAATATATTGAAAATACACTTTGGGAACGAAGTATTTTTAATATCCGTGGAACAGTATTCATCTTGGGTGTTTTAACTTAACCCTGAATACTAATAAGCAATGCTTATCTTTCCAGATCACTGGAAATCACATTTTTTCATCAGATTTAAATTCATTTTAATCATGAGAAATATCTCTCGGAATCCAAATAACCTCTGAGTACCAACAAAATGAGCAGTCAGCACACGAAGTAGCATTCATTCAGATTCATTCAGTAATTGTATACCCTGAAATTCTACCCAAACTATTAATTATTTTTATTAATTTCAGTGGTGATGTAGATGATGATGTAGTTTCAGGTCTCAACACATGCAAAACTAGTTTAAATTCTTTTGGTTCATGAACAAAACTGTAAATATCCCTTTTCTATCTGACTGCACATGCCAACTGTTCCAACATCAATATAGAAAAAGGGCAGCCCTGTCTTGTACTCCTCTCCAAACCTAATGGATCTGAAATATTAATGGGTGTTATGTGTGCATCTTGAAACCCTATGGGCACTTTATTATTTCTACCGAGTGTTTGCTCTTCCATGTTAGTGATGGCTGCTGTTTAAGATCTGTTTTCTGAACAATTTGTCAACCTAGGTGCAGTTTTGACGTCAGCCTTTTAAAACTGAGCAATATGGAAGAGGAATTCAGAACTGATGTTCCATCTCATATAAGTGTAAACCTTGAACCGCTTCTTGAAGACATTGGCACAGTTGCTCTTCTGCCAGAATCTGATGCATGTCTTAAAGGAAATTATACCCACCTCCAAGAAATGACTCCTCCATTCACTCAGAAATGCATTTCTGCTTTACCTCAGACAGCATCCACTCCAGATGTCATCATTGAAGAAATCATTGAAGATGATCAAGAAAGTGAGTAGAACTTTCCAGCCGGTTGCCAGAGTTGTGTGGCTAATTCCCTTTGTTTTTAAAACAATATTCTTACAAGTGCATGGCAACCTGCTCTTGATGCATTGTTTTTCTTACATAGGCTGCAGCTGGAAGGGATCTACCAATCAATCAATACTTTATTAATGAATTCAGTTATTTCATAATTGATTTCATTAATAAAGTACAGTGGTGCCTCGCAAGACGAAAATAATCCGTTCCGTGAGTCTCTTCGTCTAGCGATTTTTTCGTCTTGCGAAGCAACCCTATTAGTGGCTTAGCGGATTAGCGTCTTAGCGGCTATTAAAGGCTTAGCGGCTTAGAAAAAGGGGGGGGAGTGAAAAAAATCGCAAGACTTGCAAGACGTTTTCGTCTTGCGAAGCAAGCCCATAGGGAAATTTGTCTTGCGACGCAACTCAAAAACGGAAAACCCTTTCGTCTAGCAGGTTTTTCGTCTTGCGAGGCATTCGGCTTGCGGGGCACCACTGTATTGATCGATTAAGTGAAGAAGAATAATTTAAAGGCATGTTTGCACATTCATTGGTGTGTTCAAGTCATTTCTCAGAAATGAGCACCAAATCATTTCAGAATGTGCATGTCACCCTTTCTGTAACAATACAAACTTATTAATTTGTACTGTCTCAAAATGCTGTTTTTCAGTAATGTGCATAAATGTTCCTATGATCTTCCTTCACTGTTACATCACCTTTCTTACCCACTCTGTACCACACAGATGCTCCAGAATTGGTTTTTGTCAGCAGTGTACTAAATCCTTGCCACTTCTACGTTCGAAAAGTTTCGCAGAAGAAAGCAGCTGTTCGTTTGGAAAAAACTCTGAGGCAATTCTGCAATCATAAAAGGTCCTACCCTAGTGACATTTTGGAACTAGGTAACAACACTTCTCAAATCTTTTGACTAATAATGTTTATATAATTTCAGAGTTTTGTTTTTTTATTCCTGTGAGGGGGGTATATATTGTGGGTTTTACTAAGTAACCTTTTAATATTGTAGTCATTTTGCAGTCATTTTGGACCCAGGAACTCATTTGGAAATCAGTCTCTTGAGGATACCACCAAAAAATGGCTGCTGTGATAGACTGCCTAATCTCAAATGCTCCTCTCAATGAGAATATTTTGCAACAAATTGTGTATTGAAACTTATTTCAGGTTCAAGAATCTTTGTTAAAAGCAAGGAACATGGAATGTGGTGTCGTGGAAAAATCATTGAACTGATGCCGTTGCAGAAGACAAATGAGCTGAAGCCCCGTGGTCCAACAAAGTACAAAATTTGTGATATAGCAATGATGAAAATATTCCTTGTGGACTTTGGGCATATTGAAGCTTTGATTATTTCAAGGTATACTTTTTTGCCTTTATTTGCCACATGGTGGTTTTGCCATATTGCTTTCTAGTGGCAATGTATAAGGTGCACCAATTTCTAGTGATGAAAGGGAGAGTGGATTTAAAGCCTCATTACCATTTCATTTGTTCATTGCCTTGTGCAGGAGAATCTCAAGACAACCTGCTGTAAAAACAATCTTCATAAGGCAGAAATGAAGAACAATAAGAGTGCATAATTTGCTCAGTTAATTGCTGATGTGATTCAAATAGTGTTCAGGCATTAAATATATAAAAAAAATCACAAGCTAGCTATCTATTAACTGCATGTGGTGATGTGAATTTTGCATGTAGGTCCTCTGTGAACATGTGATTCTTCTACATCCATTCATGGTAGATGGATTATGTAATCTGGGTCTGTGCATAGAATCCGGTTCTTCCTCCCCCACCCAATTATTGATTAAAATATTTTAACTGGGGCCATACCACCATAAAGCCACGTATAGGGGAATTTTACAAATAGACCTTCCTGCCTTCTTCACGTAGGCCCCAGTTCATATTCCAGATTATGTGGTCCATGCCTGTCAGTTTGCCATGCACAAATGATATCATGGTTTCTTCTTGTTTAGGGGACATGTATTTAGAACTACATAGGTGTGTAATGAGAGAAAATTGCAAATCCCCACCCCCACCCCAATGACTCCAGGATGAGTTCATTGGCTTCCCTTGGTTCTGACGTTTCCAAATTGTTTTTAACTTCACGTACAACATACTGCAGTAGTCTTAATCTAGGGGTTATCAGTTCTATGAGCCACCCAACAGCTTGATTACCGTATTTTTCGCTCTATAACACGCACCTGACCATAACACGCACATCGTTTTTAGAGGAGGAAAACAAGGAAAAAAATTCTGAATGAAACAGTGGATGTATCATTTTTGTGCTTCATGCTGTGGCCACAGACATGTGATCTGATGGTGAATTTGGGGTAGCTCAATGCAAAGATCCTGAGGATCCATGTGGATCCATGCTTTTTAACCACATTTTTGCACCATTGCAGCCCCAGGCAACAGTGGGTGTGTGATTTTTGGGGGGCAGGCTGCTATGTGATCTGATGGTGAATTTGGGGTGGCCAATGCAAAGATCCTGAGGATCCATGTGGATCCATGGCTTTTTAACCACGTTTTTGCACCATTGCAAGCCCCAGGCAACAGTGGGTGTGTGATTTTGGGGGGCAGGCTGCTATTGTGATCTGATGGTGAATTTGGGGTGGCCCAATGCAAAGATCCTGAGGATCCATGTGGATCCATGCTTTTTAACCACGTTTTTGCACCATTGCAGCCCCAGGCAACAGTGGGTGTGTGATTTTGGGGGGGCAGGCTGCTATGTGATCTGATGGTGAATTTGGGGTGGCCCAATGCAAAGATCCTGAGGATCCATGTGGATCCATGCTTTTTAACCACGTTTTTGCACCATTGCAGCCCCAGGCAACAGTGGGTGTGTGATTTTAGGGGGGCAGGCTGCTATGTGATCTGATGGTGAATTTGGGGTGGCCCAATGCAAAGATCCTGAGGATCCATGTGGATCCATGCTTTGTAACTACATTTTAAGTGGGGAGTGAAGGAAAAACACAGAAGGGACAAGAGAGCGGTGTGCAGAGAAGCAGCTGGCTAAGAAAGCAGGAGAGGGATTTTACGGGAGGGAGGAAAGAAAGGCAAAAGTTTCCACAAACCGAAGCCAGCTTTCTCTCTCCTCCTGCATGTTTTCTGGCTGCCTGCGAGGAGCACGGAGAGGAATTAGAAGGAAAGACCTCTGCTTTCCCCTCTGCTTGCCTGGAGGGGAGGGGATTTGCCTGCTCTTTGTTCCGTTTGAGCAAACACAGCAATGAAACAGAGGAGGGTGGGCAGTAAGACCCTGAGGCAGAATGCAGGAAAGCAACCACTTCCTCTTTTCAGGTTTCCCTCTCCGGCACAACGCACGATTGATTTTTGCTGATTTTTGTTCCTGCGCTCCCCTAATCAGCTCCAGGGACCCCCCACATTCGCTCCATAACACGCACAGACATTTTCCCTTCCTTTTTAGGAGAAAAAATCTGCATGTAATAGAGAGAAAAATACGGTATTTTGCACTTGGAAAACCTCGGGTTCAATTCCTGAACATCTCGAGGGTTATTACAGAACTCTGTCCCATCATCTGATCCATTTAACTGAAGAGCCGTTGTCAGAGTAGATTATAGTTGGAGCTGGTCTAAAACAACTTATTATAAAACTATCTTAATTAGAGCAGATAGGAAATATTTTGCTGATTTGCTTTTTATGATACTTTTGAATAATACAGTTCAGTTGTTCCCAGTAAAGCATCTCTTAAACAGAAAACTTTTTAGACTTAAAAAATCTGCCTATTGATGTTGAAGCATTTTATTCCAAGCTTATATTGAGAAATAATATTTGTTATCTTCTCTTTCTGCCATCAAGCGTACCAAATAACATTGGCATTAATCCAGAACATATCACTCTAGAATATATAGTGACTGAAGACTTTTGCTTGGTTGTGAAGAAACCTGACATACATATAGAGGCACAACTTAGTGGTATAAATCATTTAGCACTACAGTGCTCCCTGAAGGACATTGTTCCCAAAGATTCAGTAAGTAAGAACTATGTTGTCTGGACTTCTGCATTCTTAGAGAAGTTAGATAATATCTTTTTTAAAGAAACAATTGAATGTTCATATTCTGATTTTTCCTGATTGAGATGGCTTTCCCTTCCTTCGTAATGATGTAATTCTTACATTGTACTCAATAAAGATAATAACCTAATGTGCCTAACTTTTTAGAACAGTGGTCAGCAAACATTTTCAGCAGGGGGCTAGTCCACTGTCCCTCAGACCTTGTGGGGGGCCAGACTATATTTTGGAGAGGGGGAAATGAACGAATTCCTATGCCCCACAAATAACCCAAAGATGCATTTTAAATAAAAGGACACATTCTACTCATGTAAAAACACGCTGATTCCCGGACTGTCTACAGTCCGGAGTTTTGGGCTGGGCTGCCATCAGTATGCCGATGACACCCAACTCTATCTGTTGATGGACAGCCACCCTGACTCGGCCCCAGATACACTGACCAGATGTCTGGAAGCTGTGGCTGGATGGTTACGTGGGAGCCGGTTGAAGTTAAATCCTTCGAAGACAGAGGTCCTTTGGCTGGGACGGAGCGACATGGGATTGAGGGGGCAACTCCCATCTCTTGCGGGGGTGCAATTAGTGCCAACATCATCCGTTAAGAGTTTGGGTGTAATCTTTGATACCTCCCTCTCTATGGAGGCGCAGATTACAGCTATAACAAAGGCGGCATTTTTTCATCTCCGCCAAGCTAAGCAGTTGGCTCCTTATCTCTCTCGCCCTGACCTAGCCACTGTGATCCACGCGACGGTCACCTCCAGACTGGATTATTGTAACTCGCTCTACGTGGGGCTGCCCTTGAGACTGACCCAGAAACTCCAGCGGGTGCAGAATGCCACGGCGAGACTCATTATGGGGTCTTCGCTGCGAGATCATATCCATCTGGTATTATACCAGCTGCACTGGCTCCCGGTGGAGTACAGGATCAGGTTTAAGGTGCTGGTTTTAACCTTTAAAGCCCTATACGGCCTAGGACCCTCGTACCTACGGGACCGCCTCTTCTGGTATGTCCCACAGAGAAATCTACGGTCTGCAAATAAAAACATCCTAAAGATCCCAGGCCACAAAGAGGTTAGGCTGGCCTCAACTAGAGCCAGGGCCTTCTCGGTCGCGGCTCCAATCTGGTGGAACGCTCTGTCACAAGAGACTAGGGCCCTGCAGGACCTGACATCCTTCCGCAGGGCCTGCAAGACAGAGCTGTTCTACCAGGCCTTTGGTCAGGGCGCGGCCTGACCCCCTCCTCTGGCAATCGGCAATATGCACAGAATTTGGCTTGATGGTTGCCATTAATTTGATTTTAATTTAATTTGATTTAATTAATTTTATAATGAATGTTTTAGAATGTTGGATTATTTTTATTGTTGTTAGCCGCCCTGAGCCCAGCTTCGGCTGGGGAGGGCGGGATATAAATAAAATTTATTATTATTATTATTATTATTATTATTACAGGCTGGATTTAGAAGGCGATTGGGCCAGATCCGGCCCCCGCGCCTTAGTTTGCCTACCCATGTTTTAGAAGATTCAACCTGTCTTCTACACAGATCATTCCTATTTGTGATTGCACAGAATACCCATTCAAAGAACAGTTATGAGTAAACATTGCTAGTTCAGTTTGGAAAAAATTAATTGGTGTGGTATGGTGTCTGAATTATTTTTTTTTAAGTCTTGATGTGTTTGGATGCCATGCAATGTACATAACAGTGTGGTTAAGTTCTGAGTTTTGTTACATATTGGGTATTTAGTAGTTCTTGGTACTGTATTTAAATCCTAAAGTCTGCAGGTGGATAGGATTCTGAACTTCTCTCTCCCCCTGCAATAGGCTGAAGGTTGGAGCAGAAAAGCAAGGACAGAATTTTTGAAAATGGTAAAAAACAAAGCTGTTCTAATGAAAGTCTTCAGAGAAGAGGATGGTGTGCTTATTGTTGATCTGATGAAACCGCCAGCAAACAAAATAAGTAGTGACATGCCTGTATCTCTCAGAGATGCTTTAGTTTTTATGGACTTGGCAAGGTATATGCAATACAAAGCATTTCAGGGTTAGAGATAAAATAGGGTTATTTTTTTAAATGTGCTTAATTAAAACTAATTCCTCTTGAAATCATGAAACACACTTTAGGTGAGTTTGATTATGTGTTGGGGGAGGTTATGTCTGCTATAAAGACTAGATTAAGATGACAACATCTTATTTTCTCTGCTGCTGGCATGATTAGCTGCAAATGCTTAATTACTAAAATTCTAAATTGTTCTCTCCAGTTGGGCTTTCAGCCACTTTATTTTTCACATTCAAACTGAATACTAAAGCCGTTCGGGAGCCAAGGTACGACTGTATTCCTTTATAACAGAGCGCAAGAATTGGCTACAAATTGACTAAAGCCCACTAACTGTTAAATACCACTAACCTAAATATTTTTTTAAAAAGATTTGGTGTAGTGAGGGTGAGAATGGAGAATCATAGAATTGTGGTACTGGAAGGAACCTAAAGTCAGTTTTTGCCATTTTTCCATCATCCTGTTTCCCTTAATCTGTTCAGTTTATTTCCCCACCTTCCAGAGTGGATAAATGTCTTACGATTCAATTTTTTATTTTAAAATGCAAATGCTGTGTTTTTCTTAAGATACAGTAGTATGAAATCTGGATATAAGCATGTTGGTCCCATAGTTTATATCTTAAAACTGATCAGTGCCTCTGCCAGAGACATGGAATTGGAGGAGGCGTCTCTGTGTAAGTGAAGAATCAATCTGATCCTTCCCGATATCTGCATATCCTACTCTACCTGCCAAATAATGGCATTTCATTTCCATCTCATGAAATAAACTGCTTGGGCTTGCCCAGTAACTTTCAGACCTTGTTCCTACTTACTGGTCATGGGCATTTCGTTTTTGTTTGCTGATTTGTTCTTCTGAGGCTGCAACTGGGCGAAGGCAGAGTAAAGCAGAAAAGGGCGACACTAGAAAGTCAGGAAAGAGGAAACTGTTGGCTATGCGTGTTCCTATAGTGTCATACTTTGCCTGCAGTCTTACACACAAATACCATATTTTTCCGTCTATAAGACGCCCCCATGTGCAAGGCGACCTCTATTTTTTAACCCAAAATTAAGAAAATGCACTATGCACTACCCATGTATAAGACGACCTCTTATTTTAAACTTCAAAAATTTCGGAAAAAATACAGTCTTATACAAGGGAAAATACAGTATGTCTTGCTCCTTCTCATGTGTTTCAAATGCAGGTCATTAAATTGGTTCTGTGGAATTCAGTGGAAGCCAGTCCTTTTTTTCAAGGGGTGCTCAAGGGTACACAGTATTGGCACCTCTTTTTTTGTTTTGTTAAAAAATGTGGCACTTACTGTAACAACTTCATCCTGAGTACTGGCATCTATTTTTCTAGAAAAAGGCAGTGGTGGGGGCCATAGAAAACGTCCTTTTGTGACTGACTTCAGCAGTTCATTCTAGATTCTTACTTTACTAGGTTTCGTGCTGAAGTTTCTGATCAACCTGAAAACATTGAATTCCTGCAGTACTGGGCACCTGCGATACCAGAGAAAAATACAGAAGTCACCATTGTTGTTAGTTATATTACTAGCCCAGGTGATTTCTACATTCAGCTAGTAAGTATTATTCAGTATATTTAATTTTTGTGTTGACATTATTGAAAAATGCTCCTGAGATTTGGTATGATATGATTTGATTTGTTATTAATTTTGTTATTAATTGGAATATTATTAATGGAAAGTTGATAAAAAATATTTTACGAAAAGAAAAATGCTTCCTGAAATGCTTTACACTTTCTACTTTGGAACATAAAAAGATAAGTTTATTGCTGGAAATTGGGAGTAGTATGTTTTTCAAGTTACCATTTCAGATGTATAAAATACATTAATAGATCTTTTTCTAGTGCTTGTTTAATATACAGATCACTCGGAACCTAAATGGGGATTATGTTCCAGGGACATGAAGCCACAGTTGCCTTAGGAACTGCACAAGTAATCTTCCTTTCCGGAGCCAGCACACTAAAGGAATCTTAACCACCACCACCACTCTGAAGCAAAGCAGATACTTTTTTAGCTCTCTGCCTTGCTTTTATTGGGCTCTGAGAGGTTCTCATGAGATGTTATGGGGCTGATGAGCCCATGTGAGACCCTCCCAAAGCCCAATACGCAAGGCAGCGAGATTAAAAACTCTTGCCATGCCAGAAAAACTCGGCATGGAAAGTGCTTAAGAGCTCTCCACCTTGCATGTGATTCATTTGCAATGTCAACTGAGCAAGTCTCCAATATCAGCTGCCTTTTCTCAGCTATCTGATATGCATCTTCACGCATCAGTCTGGCTTCAGTGTGTCATGTGCTACTTTCCCCCATTTCTTCAGCAGATGTAAAATCGAGTTCTTTAGGTACAGAGTGCATCAGTTTGACTTTCTGTGTGATGTTACATTTAGTAAGAGTGTGTTGACTGCAATCCATAGTGATTAATACTGTTTCCGTTGCGTTAGGTAGAAGAAGGTCCAGAATTTGCAGCTTTTCTGAGCAAAGTTGAGGAAGTATATAAAAATGACAGCAGAGTTGGCTTGGAAATTCTCTGTCCGGTCCAGGGTCAACCGTGCATAGCAAAATTCGAAGAGGATGGAGTTTGGTACAGGGCACAGGTTGTTGGTAAGTAACTATAGTATTAAGTTAGAGGGCTTTTGTTTTGACGCTTCCCCCGCCCCCAATCAAATCGCCTCTATATTTTCAAGACACCTATTTAATTCATTTTCTGTTTTAAATGAATGCTGGTTTTTCCCATTTCATTCTCCCACTGTGATTTCTTTTTCTTATGTCCAAGTAATACACCCATCTTTCCTACAATGAAGCAGGGTTTAATAGCCACATGACTCGACTTCTCTAGTTTGTGCTAAACCGTAGGTAGGTTGAAGTTGCAGCAAAAACAGGCAAACGATGGTTCACAGTAGAGCTCCAAATGAGAATTTGAAACCCACTTCAAAATTTAGGTTTTAATTCTGATCTGTGGGGCAAGTGTTAAACCATGGTTTGCCATTTCTGATATGGGGTGCCGTAACTTGTTCATTAACACGCTACCGTTCTTAGTTCTTTAATATAACATATAAAACCATAGAAATTTTGTATTGAAAAACAGGCTAATGAATTCTCTTTGTTTAATAATGTAAAAGAGCATCTGACTCTTATGTGTTGATATTGCCATTATTAAAAATTGCCATGCATGCAGTATTTGATGGATGGTTTTGAAGGAAGTGATGTTGATTTCAAAGTTTGTGTGTGGAGCTCGGAGGGCATTACATATATCTGCAGTAACATTGCTCTCCTTAACGCTGCACCTCAATCACCGAGGTACGGCTGGACTGAGACGGTTATTGTTGTAGGTGTACACAAATGTTTCCTATAATTTTATAATGTCCACATATCATTGATTCCTAACCGCATAATGTTTTCTAAAGGATTGCCAGGCCACCAAGAAGTTGAGGTTAAATATGTTGACTTTGGGAACACTGCTAAAATAAATGTGCAAGACATGCGTAAAATCAAAGATGAGTTTTTAGCTCTCCCAGCAAAGGTAAGTTAGAACTTCATCCCGCATGAGTTAAATCTAAATTTGCAGAATGCCATGTATTCCTGACAAAGCACCTTCTGTGCAGCTTGGAGTTCAGTTCCTAATGTTTCTGAATTATCTTCTCTTATAAAGTGTAATTCTGTGTCCACTAAATTCTAACAATATGATAAATGTAATAGAAGTGAGCCGTGTGTCAAGCTTTTCTCTAAGAATCTATCTCCCCTCCAACACATGCAGAGCCAAAGAAATTTGCACACAAGTGCCATGTTTTAAGAGTGGGGCAAGTTGCTGTTGTGCGAAAGGTAGGCACCCTGTGGCTCAGCAGTGGGTCCGATAATAGTTGTGCTATAGCAAGAAAGCACTACAGGAGATGCGTACTTAGTTGTTGCCTAGATTAGAGATTGCTGGGAGCCCTGTGTAAGCACACTGAAATTTCATTAAAGGAACGATGGCATTGAAACTAAATAAACAAATTGGGCTATGTTTTATAATTTAGGCCATCAGGTGCAAGCTGGCCCATATCATACCAAATAAAGGAGCAAATGAATGGAGTAGTAAATCAAAGGACAGATTTGAAGAACTAATTCAAGATAAATGTATGCTCTGCTTTATTATTGGTAAGTGTTTGCCTGTCTTGAGTAACTTACTCAGTAATTGAGAGCCAAATAGAGTTGCTGACTCAAAAATCAAATCATCCATTCTCACTCAGTGGACAGCAACTTGATAGGGACAGTGCCTCCCATCCAGCCTGTCAGGGAAATTCTCAATTTCTCCTTGGGATAAGTACCATAATGTTGTTAGGACTGCTTGCTGCTCTTGTCATCGGTGTAGGACTATTTCCCTTTCCCTACCTAATTGGATTAGCTCGGTGCTCAGCTATGCCCAGCCAGAACACCGGGGCAGCTTATTCCCAACCCCGTCAATGGTTTTCCAGTTGGAAGGAGGGGCAGGTATTTGGAATTCAGCCATAAAACATGCTGGCTAACTCTTAAGTCACAAAATAAATAAAAAAATGCCTTCCAGTAGCACCTTAGAGACCAACTAAGTTTGCTGTTGGTATGAGTTTTCGTGTGCATGCACACTTCTTCAGATACACGAAATGCACACGAAAGCTCATACCAATAACAAACTTAGTTGGTCTCTAAGGTGCTACTGGAAGGAATTTTTTAAATTTTGTTTCAACTACGGCAGACCAACACGGCTACCTACCTGTAATCTTAAGTCACAGTATCCTATTAACCTACATCACCTGACCATTTTGGTGACAAATGAGATAAAATTATTTGTAAGAATATGGAGCTTTGGAAATATCGGAGGCTTTCAGAACACTTTTTTAAAAAAAAAAATCCTGTTTTTTAATGCAGAGACTTAAATTATCTGTCACATAAATACACAGCCACTACATTTTATTAAGTAATTGTCTCAAAGGAGCCTTCTGGTCTTGATAATTGGTTTTCTTTGTTCCTCACCTTTCTACGTAACTTTTTAAGGTAGCTTACAAAATGCAAAAGCAATTAAAAATCACAGTAGGTAAAAGCAATAAAATCCCAACATAATGAAGTAAAATAAAATGGTTCACAGCTAAGACCTTCATCATGCCGCCTCCTTTCCCCAACACTCGTAGCTACAGTAATTTCTTTCCTTTGACATTTTGAACTTAAACCTCTTTCAACTACCTCTAGAAAAATCTGAAGACAATATACTGTCTGTTGAGCTCTATGAAAGTGTATGTGTGCCACCAAAGGCATCTTGGAGTGTTAACAGCCTCTTGGTTAAAGAAGGTCTGGCATCTTATATATTAAGGTGAGTGTGCTGCTTCATTAACTTCAACATGCTCATAATCTTTTTGCAACTTCTGAATTTGAGCAGCCCAATATTTCTCAGTGAAGTGTATGTAATGTCATCTCAGGTAGTGCTTAAATGGCTTGGCTTAGTGTTGTGTACAAACCTAGACTCACGATTTTGTCTCATTCCAAACAAACTGAACACTAAGCCAAGAAACAAACCTTGGTTCACAGTTCATGGTTCATTTTGGAGCAAGACAAATCACACCACAAGCCCAAGTTTGTGCATAGCAAGGGTAGTGTGACATTGTGGTGATTTATTTTTTACTGTAAAGCATCACTCTTGCTTGTTTACACTTAGCCATGGTTTGGCTAAATGTTAACATGCCAACCAGGTCTTTGTTTAAAACTTGTTGGTCATGTTTTGTGGAGGGCATTTCTGCTTCTATTTGTCTGATACTGGCAGATGAAACAAAAAACTAAATAAAACCAAATTCTACAGTGACACCAAAATGATTACTGAATCACGTCATGAAGTTTGGGATCCTACTCCAGAAGAACTATTCAAAGCTCATGGAAATAATTTACAGCCTGGGAATGAAGAGCCGATACAGTTTGAAGGTACAAAATTAGATTGCAGCAAAGAACTGCAAGTGCGAATTAGTCACGTTGTGTCCCCAAGCAAGTTCTACGTGCATTTGATGTCATCAGAACAAATTCTGAAAAGGTAAGTTCCTTTTCCCACTTGACCTGGGTCAGAGCACTTCATGCTTTTTGGTTCTTTTCATTTTTGACAATTGTTGTTGCTTAACTTTACATATTCCACAGCTCCTGCAGGATGATGAAAATAGCGATTAAACTAAGAAAGGAGTCTTTGCTGCCAGTGTGCCATGTTTTTTCCATAAAATAACCCCTGAGGACCACAGGAAGTCATCAGAATGTTGTGTCATTCCAGGGACTTACTGTATTTGTGATTAAAGTGTACCAGTGGCAAGACACCCAGCATGTTGGCCACTTCCGATTGTGGGTGGCTGGCATGCCAGTGCTTGAAAGTTAAAGACAGAAAAATATTTTACATGGATGGATTAATAGATAAAATAGATAGACATACACGTGTATGGGGACAGGAAAGACTTGGTCCTATCCTCATGCAGAACTGGGATGGACCAGATTTTTATGGTCCTTTCATCCCTTTACCTGACATAAACGGTGGAAGAAAGTAACCAACTCTTTCTGGCCTGCTCCTGCCTACTCTGTGAAGGGAACATTCAAGCTAAGTGCTCCATGTTCTGTTTGGACAACATGCTCAAGATAATGGTGGGAGTTCAGCTACAAGCATACTAGGAGCAAATTAATTATCTGGAAGAAAGGATGCAGGGAATGCAGCCCTGGTTATGGTTTATGAACTTAGTGGTTTTTTGTACCATTGACCACAGCGTCCTGGAGAACCTCTGGTGGTTTAGGGCTGGAGGCATGGCTTTGTAGTGGATTCCACTCTACCTGCTGGGGGTGGTTTCTGAGAACAGTAATGGGGGTTTTTTTTGCTCAGCCATGTGGAAACTGACCTGCAGGATTCTACATGGTTTGATCCCAACTCTCATGGTATTTAACATCTGTATGAAGCTGCTGACAAAAGTGAGTTGGAGTATAGTATCATCAAATATGCAGGCGACATGAAAATTCCCCTCTTCCATCTGACTCGGAAGAGGCAGTATGGGCTGGTTGTGGGTCAGTTGAAACCATACAAAACAAAGTTGTTCTGGGTTCATGGATACTGGATTTGAAGAGGTACCTTGTTCTAGATGAGGTTGGACTCCTCTTGAAAGAGTAGGTGCGTAGCTTGAGTTGCTCCTAGAGGCTATATTGTCACTAGAAGCCTGGGTGGCTTCTGTAGCTAGGGATGCCTGTTTCCTGCTTGAGCTGGTTCATTAGCTATAGGCTTTCCCAAACAGAGGGAGTCTAGCTGCAGTTAGGCATTTTATATGAACTAGAGTGGACGACTGCAATGTGTTGTTAAGTGGTGCTGCCTTTGAAAAAGATTCAGATGTTGCGAAATGCACCATTGGTTAATGGGCACCACTGTCTGGTTTCATATAACAGATTCTAAAAGAATTGCATTGGTTGCCAATTATTAGGTGCTTATGATGACATAATGGGGACGCGGGTGGCGCTGTGGGTAAAAACCTCAGCGCCTAGGGCTTGCCGATTGAAAGGTCGGCGGTTCGAATCCCCGCGGCGGGGTGCGCTCCCGTTGCTCGGTCCCAGCGCCTGCCAACCTAGCAGTTCGAAAGCACCCCCGGGTGCAAGTAGATAAATAGGGACCGCTTACCAGCGGGAAGGTAAACGGCGTTCCGTGTGCTGCGCTGGCTCGCCAGATGCAGCTTTGTCACGCTGGCCACGTGACCTGGAAAGTGTCTCCGGACAGCGCTGTCCCCCGGCCTCTTAAGTGAGATGGGCGCACAACCCTAGAGTCTGTCAAGACTGGCCCGTACGGGCAGGGGTACCTTTACCCTTTACTATGATGGCATATAAAGAAAGCCCTGGTCAACTGGGGTTTAAATATTTGAAAGAACGTTTTGAGATGAGTCCCTTCTTGTGCTACTGCTGCTGATTAAGGTCCATGGGGTGGAATGACATCCCATGTACAGTTTTATTGATGCTTTATCTATGATTTCATGTTTTTTGTGTTCCCCTTTAGAAATATTGCTAATTATTTTGTGTTAATGTCATATTTGTTAAAGTCCTTGGAACTAAATGGTGAAGCGCGGGTTCTAAACCCACAACTGTGCATTATTTTCAAGACTAGAAAATAATGTACAGTTGTAATCTTAACAGTTAAATAAACTATTGACCCTACTGTATCTTTAACCTTTAGAAAAGTATGTTTCTTTCAGAACAATACTGGCAATGTAGATTTGATTGTCTATTTGGCTACTTATAATATTAGTTTACAGGAAAAGATGGCAGCCACTTACTTGGAATCAGAAAGAGAAACAGTTGAATGGAAAATTGATATGAATTGTGCTGCTTATTTACATGATCTGAATCAGTGGCAGAGAGGCCAAATCCGCAGGATTGTTTCAGAAAGTAAACTTGAGGTAAATGCCATTATAAAATCACTGTTTTATGTAGATAAGTATCACTGCGTTCATTATGACTAGGAAGCACTCATTTGGTGATTTAATATGTGGAATTTAATGTATTCTTTATCCTATATAAAAACTTAACTTACTAATCAGTTAAACAGGCTAAATGATGTATTACTTCTTTTGAAAATGAATGAGAGATTTTTGCAGTATCATAATGAAATTTGTACTCTGTAGCCAGCTAAGAGAAATTTCCTAACAAAGCCAGCCAGAGTTTTGTAGGTCCGTGATAAGTCTAATTTGGGCCGTTGAAGAACTGTATTTTTCTTACACCTGTCTTTTGCAGGTGTTCCTCATTGACTTTGGCATAACTAAAACTGTAGATATTGTCTCCCTAAGAGAACTTGAGCAGAATCTGAAGACGCAGAAGCCTCTTGCAATAGAGTGCTCACTAACAGACATAAGGTAAAGTGTCCGTTTCATTCAGTTCTGGAACATGCTTTCTCCCATTCTGCAAGTGTTGCAGCGGTGTTGGGATTTGAACTTGGGCCTGAAGCAGGGTGCCCAAACCTGTAACTGCTATACCATGTGTTCACATGCCATGTAGAAACACTAGGAGTGGCCATTTCCAGTGCTCCTTGGGCAGCATTTGTATTTGTCAACAAGACTTTGAAATTTCTCTATATTTTTAAAATAAGGAATGAGACTCACTGGGCAATTGAAAAACATAATGCTTAATCGAGCTGTTACAGATGTTTTTTTCCTGCCAGAAGATCTGTGTCCTCTCCAGCAATTCTATGAACAATAGGGGAGAGGGTATCATTTGAGAGGAAATGATTTTTATTTCATTCCTCCCTATGCATCTCGTTTTAGACCAGCTGGTGGGACTGAGCAGTGGACAGGAACTGCCTGCGATGTTCTTGCACGTTACTTAACTGGAGCTGTGGTAAACCTAATAATACAGGTTAGTAGCGGTATAGGCCTAACTTTAATAGAGAGCTTTGTAGTAGTAAATGTCTGATTTACCAGTGCAAGTTTTCTTTCGGGGAGAACTGTGTACAGCTAAAACATTTGGAGTATGTAGCCGGCTAAGATACTGGAACGTGTCCCTCTTTTCGGGCCCCCAAGGTTCTGTCTGGATGGAGACTTGGAATATGCCTTAGCTCACACAACCTTGAACACTTCTCTCTAGGGAGGAAGTGACAAAATGTATGTGTGGTTCTGCTTTGTTAGAACTAGAATTGGCCAGTATTTTTATTAGCTTCTCCCTGTAGTGAAAAGAGCACAATCTGGCTGCTGTGATAGAATCCAGTTGCTTAAGTAATGACAACGAATCAGGTAGTTGGCTAAGAACACTTAAGCCAACATCAAAGTCTCCTTTGGAAACCATTGAGTTTAGTGAAAACTTGCCAGCTTATGTTGAGGGGGTGGGCAGATCATTTTAAGGAGACGTTGGCTTGTCAGCAAGCCCTTCCTGGCATAAAATTTTTAGTGTTTAATTTGTGATTTCAACCGGCCAGCCACCAAGCATGCAAAGTTGAAATTGTGCAAGTAAAATGCACCTAAGTTATGAGCCTTCTCTACAAGCAAATACTTCGTGTGGCATCCATCTGTTTTGAGAGGCAATGGAGGAATGTGCCTTTGGGGGTGAAGTAACACTGTTGGGAGGATGCAGTTGATGTTCTGCATCCCAGAACCCTTCATTTGGGGTTGGTCACTCCCTTCTGCAAGAAAGGTTATGGCTGTGTCCAAATATGCAAGATAGCTGTTCATGATTCTATCTGGTTTATCTGCAAACAGGGTGACATCTAGGCCAGTGTTCGATATCTAGCAAAGAGTATCGTGCAGAGATGTCAACAACATTCTCTTCAGTTGTTCTGTATGATGTATGTTAATATCCTAGCTGTAAAAACATCCAGGAATACAAATTATTGTCTTAAGTCTGGATGACAGTACTTGGCTTTCTAATTGCCTATCCCATCGATTAGAATATGGAGGGTTCCCAAATTCTGTCACTTGCTCAGGATGGTTTAAATCAGGCCTGGTGGTGAAGGGAACACATTTTAAATAAATAGAAGATGCCTCAGTTCTAAACATTTCTCACTAATCTTCACCCAATTGGCCTTTTAAGATCTAAAAATTGATCTTGTTTTGTTACATGTTTTGTGTTTTTATCTTACATTTTTATGCTGTGAACTACCCTGCAATTTACAGATGAAGGGCAGTATGCTAATTTAATAATACTAATAGTCTACTCAATTCCTTTCCCATTTATTCCTCAATCTGGTAATCCAGTACTACTATGGTCCAATCATAAATACAATTTTTTGGAAAGTTAGCCATACTCCTCTCACAGAAGCTTGTGCCTGTTTACAATTTCATTTACTAATATATAGAAGTTGTGAACTCAGCACAAATATCTAGGATTTGTTGCATTTCCTGACATATGTCAGTAAACTAGCCGTTCACTGTGTATTAATTTGATGGTTTGGCCAGTCGCTGCACACTGAAGAACTTTGTTTCACTTTATAGTAGTAATGCAAAACCAACAATAGCTGCCTTTTCTTACAAGAAGTATGTTTTATCCCAGGAAAGTAACACGTCACCTTTACCTGTGAAAGTTTTTAGCAAAGATGGAGGGCTATGTACTGACATTTCGGAATACATGATTAAAGAAGGTTTGGCATTTAGAAAAAGAAGGTATGCATTTTTCAGAATATTTATGCTCTCTTGGGTGCTGGATGTCTCCAAGTGAGTTTAGCACTCCCGATCGCTTGAAGGCGGGAAATCGTGTGACTTCAACGGAAGCATTTAGCACTTCCTTCCTATTGAGCCTAAGTTCATTTCCTTCCTTTGTTCAGAGAAAACCACTTGGGCAAAGCTATCGCCTGTGGCTTTAGACAATATAAGAGCATTGTAATAACTGAGATGCTTTATATAAAAAAGCTTTGAACATTTGAAATGAACTATATAAATGTGAAGTATTATTATTTGTTACTTGAATCAAGTTTAATGTTACTAATTCCTAAGAAAGCCAACAGCTGCTAGCACCTCAGACAACCAGACTCGGTTTAGTTTATCAATAGTATTGAGGACTAATTAGCACTAGAACTCTTTAAGAAAGGTATTAGAAGGTATTTTTCACCAAGTGTCATCTAGCTCTTTGGAAAAGCCAGATGGAGATAATTTCTTCGTGATGTTGGGTGAATGATACTCAGGTGGTCTTACCCACCTGTCAAAGTTGCCCCATGAGTAGGTAAGTTCAGGGTCAGGTCCCCTTAGTAACTTTCCTAAACGGCAGAATTCAAGAAAAGAATTGGCCTGAAAAAGTCTTTGGGCTAGAAATAAAATTAAAGCTTGAATGTTATTTGATTCCTTTACATGCTGACATACTTTCTGTTGAAGCTCCCTTAGAGCACCTAGTACAGCATCCCTTGAGAAGCTACCTGACACGCCCTTCCAGCCGGAGAATGTAGACGTAAGCCAATTGCTTGCAGACACAGAGTGTACACCAACCTCTTCCAAACCAGAGAAAGACATTGATCCTTCGATCGCAGATCACAAAGAGCAAGAATTGAAGGTCTCTTTGACTTGCCCTGTAACGGTTGAAGCCTACAAACCACCAGCTGTTCCTACCTCGCTCGTCTTCAGTGCTGTAGTCAGCTGTGTTTCAGACACAGGAACTATTTATGTGATTCCAAAGTCACAAGGTAAAAGGGGAAATGTTGATACGCAATTGCAGCATTAGTACACGATTTTCTTAACACTTGATTGTTACTGATTTGTATCAATAAAATACAACACAAACCTTGCAAAACAACATAAACTGAGCTGTGTGCCACAGCTCAACAGCATAGCAGGAAAAGCAGCCAGAGTTGGATGCAGAAAAAGGAAACAAACTTTGAGACCAGAAACCAGAGTCCCTCCAAAAGGAGATAGTGTTCGCTGGTTGCCAAAGCATTTTATCTCAGTACTTGCATATATAATAAATTGGAACCGTGTTGCTGAGAACTTGTCTGTGTGTATTTCTCCCCTAGCTTTTCTACATTGTTAATTTTTCAGCCAGAGCCAGTTGCCAGACCCTAGCACACAAACTATTAATTGAGCAGCCACTCAGATCCTCGAGTAAGCCATGATTTCAAGTCTGGCAGCCACTAGGAATTTGAGTATCAAATCTTTTATATGACACTATTCATTCTAAATAGAGAGCAGCGGAATAGGATCAAGTACTACAAATTGCTGGAAAATGAAACTAACAGAAGCAAAAATCATGTGCCAGGAAATCGGCACCATTGCCTAGGCCAGTTTTCCCCAAACGTGGGTGTCAGAGACTGCCTCCAGGTCCCAGCTCACAGAGGACCAACGCTAGCCAGTTGAACTGTACAAAAGTCTTTATTGAAGCATAGTTTCCATTTTCAAACCCTAGCGTGCGTCTCTACGTCTAGAGCCTAGACCGACGAAGCTCCATCTGAGTCTCCGCCCCCTGTACACCAGCTTAAGACTCTAGCCTTACTCCACCTCTTCCGTCTCTCCTTCCGCCTCTGGGTCCTACCACCCCCCGGGGTCCCTTCCTTCCTGGACGCTTCGGAAGCGGACCCCTCGGACTCTTCCCCCTCCCTTCGGCGGGCTTTAGGACCTGGCTCCCTATCCGGGCTGCTCATCGCGCCACCCTCTTGTACATTTGAACTTGGCGCGCGCGCGCTGCCTCCAACCTTCCTTTTGACCTTCTCCTCACTCTCTTGATGCAGGCGTGGCTAACCCTGACTCATGTCCTTCCGCTGACGGAAAGCTGCCTGATGCCGATGCCTGGGACTCCTCCCCCCTACTGCTCTCCGGTGGGGAAGCTGGTCCCGATTTCCAACTGCTGCTCTCTGAGTCCCCTCTGGCCCCTCCTTCCTGGGGTGTTCCCTCTGGCAACCCCCTAGCTCTGACCACGGGAGCCCCTTTCTGTGAATCCTCCGATTCGCTGGAGAGACTTAGAGACCTCGGGCGGCTATCCTCGCTAACTTCTCCCTCGGATTCCTCCCCCTCGGTCTCTAATTCCTCCCTTTCCTGTCCCTCTGCTCCTGAGCCCCTGACAGTGGGTCTCCAGCAAAATTGTAGTTTTTGGACTACAATTCCCATCATCCCTGACCTACTGGTTCTGCTAGCTAGGAATGATTTTTCCCAAGTTTGGGAAACTGGCCTATACCTTCCATAAATGAAAGAGGGTGCATTTAGCTGCACCTGCTCCAGCAATAGTTGTGACAAATTTGGATTTGTATAATTGAATGTCACAGGAGTCCATTGCTAGCCATGTGTTAGCTGTAAACTGTAATTTCTGTTACGATGCCTATCATAGTACTTTGCACAAACGTTCAGTTAGTTAACAGAGTCCTATTTTGTACATGTTGTTGTTCTTATTTACAAAATAGGACTGTCTGTTAACCCTCCTCAGCCACTCTGGGCAGCTTCCAACAGAATATTAAAAACACGATTAAAAAATCAGACATAAAAAACTTCTGTATACATGCAGTATGCAAATGAGTACCTGCTTTTTTTAATAATAAAAAAACCACAATGCCAGTATATCATGAAGTAATTTGTATTTAGAGGTAGCATTTTTACAGTAGCAGAGGCAGGTCTATTCCATGGAGAGTAGAAACAGTGAAGAAAGAGGTCCCCCAAAAAAATCCTCCCCTGGGAGAAGGATTGCCTCTTTCTTGACTGTTTCTACTTTCTCTGAACTAGAGCAGCCTCTCCTAAAGTGTAAATAATGCTGCCACTCATACCTCAAGGAAATTTAGCATTTTATTCAAATACATTTTATGTTCCAACTCTTAAATTATTCCGTTAAGCCATTATATTGATATTCCACTATACGAATATATGGAACTTGGTTGAAAATGATCATATAAATAGCTTTAACAAAGCTCCCTTCTTGGCATTTTTCTCCAGAGCAGCAGCTAAATACGCTGATGAGCGATATACAGAAGAACTTCAAATGTCTAGGTCTTTTGGAACCCTACAGTTGGAAAAAGGGAGAAGCTTGTGTTGTAAGAGCAGCAGATACATTGTGGTATCGAGGGGAAGTTTTGGAAGTTGGCTGTGGCATTACCAAGGTAAGACTGGTGTGACAAGAATTGCATTCCCTTGATGGGGAAGAACAAATGCTCAGTAGCTGAGTATCTGCTTGGCATGCAGAAGGACCCTAGCTCATTCCTAGAATCTCCAGGTAGCTCTGGGAATCTCTCTTGCCCGAAGCCCCGGCAATCTGGTGTCTGTTGGTGTTGACAATACTAAGCCAGATGGATCAGTGGTCTGGTTTGGAATAAGGCATATTCATGTGTTCCTATCATGGCCTCTTAGTATGAGTTTTGATTAGAAGTAAGGGATGTTTGCTACCACCTTGCCACATTACATATCAGGCAAGTGTAGGGGTGGTCATTATTATTTTCCTTAAGCCCAGGAGGAGTAAAGAACGTGGTAGAACGTTCTGCCGGTAAAGCTCTGAGCGTTGTTTAATGAGTGATTTAGAAATTCTATAGATGAAACAAAGGAAGCTAACAATTGGGAGATCAGGAGATAACACTTGAGTACAGGCAAGCCCCCATTTACACAGGGGTTATGTTCCAAGGCAGCGCACGTTTAAGTGAAATTGTGTATATTTGAAACACCATTGAAAAAGCCTGCAAACGCTCTGCCCCTTTTTGTGACGTTTTTTGGGTCACTTTCCCAAACCACTTCCTACCTTTGGGTAGGTAGAAATGACTACCTTGTTGTTGTTTAGTTGTTTAGTCGTGCCTGACTCTTCGTGACTCCATGGACCAGAGCACACCAGGCACTTCTGTCTTCCACTGCCTCCTGCACTTTGGCCAGACTCATGCTGGTAGCTTCGAGAACACTGTCCAACCATCTCGTCCTCTGTCGTCCCCTTCTCCTTGTGCCCTCCATCTTTCCCCAACATCAGGGTCTTTTCCAGGGAGTCTTGACTACCTTAAAGAGACTCAATAACTCCTCTTCCCCAGTTAGGTCATTCCTACTTCCCAAAACTACCTCTAGGGTAAAAAAGCGAAGGATGGGTCTGTTGTGCCTTGCTGGCATGCATTTAAAAACAGAATAGAATCACATCATGGAAGCTTGGGAAATAATCTACTGATTTTGTTGCTTTTTGTGTAGGTGCAGTACTTGGACTATGGCTATATTGAGAAGATTCCTCAATGTCATCTCTATCCAACTGTTTTGTATGCAGACATACCGCCATTTTCCATACCGTGTCAGCTCTATAAAACTATACCAGTGAGTGGAGGCTGCATTTTCAAATGTACTAAGCACCTGGTCTTGTGAACAGGGAGCAAAGAAACAATTACATATGCTACGCTTGTGCCTTCATAAGTTCCAGAACGCTTCTGGATTTTCTGCAAATGGAAAAACTGCTCAAGAGAAAACTCTTAAAAGATTGCGCTAAAAGGGTGGCAGACTGTTCCACAAAGCAATATATTAAAGTCGACGTATCACTTTCCTGGCTTAGTCTAAGCCATGGCATCATGCTGTAGCATGGATGTAATAGTCACTGGACAATGTCCCAGGCCGTAGCAACATAAAGGGAAGTTTTTAATGTTTAATGCTGTATTGTGTTTTTAATATTCAGAGTGGGAAACCCAGCCAGATGGGCGGGGTATAAATAATAAATTATTACTATCATCATCATTACTACTACTACTACTAAAGTTGGGCTTCATGTAATGACTGAAGTGCCATTCACTAGCCTGAGGATACCGTATTTTTTGCTCTATAAGACTTACTTTTTCCCTCCTAAAAAGTAAGGGGAAATGTGTGTGTGTGTCTTATGGAGCGAATGCAGGCTGCGCAGCTGTCCCAGAAGCCAGAACAGCAAGAGGGATTGCTGCTTTCACTGCACAGCCATCCCTCTTGCTTTTTCTGGCTTCTGAGATTCAGAATATTTTTTTCTTGTTTTCCTCCTCCAAAAACTAGGTGTGTCTTGTGGTCTGGTGCGTCTTATAGAGCGAAAAATATGGTACACTTGCCTAAGGAGAATAGATAAACAGGAGCAACTATGAACATAACTGAACTTTGAGGAAGGCAGGAAACCAACAAGAGCATAATGGGAGCCCAACCCATTTCCATAGTGTTTGTTCCTGCCTTGGTCAGAAGGTGGAGCAATAACCCAACATACCATTCCTGTTAGCAGAAAGGAAATTGAAGTCTTGTCTGCCATATACAGTACTTCCTATATAAACCTCAGGGCTAAGATCATATAGAACATGGCAGGTGCTTTGCACAAGACATTTTGGCATGTGAAGCAGAAACTAACGTTCGGTTAAAACAAACTTAATTTTTTTCCTTATAAGGCTGAAACCATTCTAATCTCCAAGATAGGGCCAGTCCTGAGTGCTTTTACATAATTAGTGATGTGCTGGTGATTTTTCTACGTTGGTTATCCAGGTTGGAACTGTTTGGCAGCAGGATGCAGTTGAACTTCTTCAAGAACTACTTACAAAAAGGCTCGTTGAAATAAATATTATGGTAAGCATAAAAACAAATTGTGCAAGTCCTTCTTCTCTTGCAGTCAGTCCCCCACCCCAACAAAAAAATAAAATAAAAAATTCTGCCAGTGGATTTTGTTGGATCATTCCCTTAGACTTCCAAGAGCAAGCTGCACATATTTTGGATTTATTTCACTTTCAAAACCAGTTATGATGTGGCAAGTGCCTTCCTGTTTGTTCTCCCCTGTCCTGTTCATTTCTGAAATAAGGGATGGGGAGGACTTTACCATAATATGAAATGGGGCATGTAGGGAGGAGAAGTCAACCTTCACACTTCATGATTCAGGTATTCTTAATTTACTTCTGGTAATAGAACAGAGTCTTTGGAAGTAAAGTAAAATCCTGTGGTAACAGATGGTAAAGGGAGAGGGTTCAGTTCCCTTTTCTTTGTTCCTTTTTACAGTAAACCAGCATCATACACTTACTTTACTTACACATGGAGAGTGGAGGAAACCAATTCCTGTTTATTTATTAGCCCTCCCCCACACCTGCACAAAGCTGTGATCCACAGACTTACCTGGATTTGTGAAGGGGGTATGAGGGCTCTGGCAGTGTCCCAGCTCCTGTCAACCTAGCAATTCAAAAGCACACCAGTGCAAGTAGATAAATTGGTACCACTGTGGCGGGAAGGTAAACGGCGTTTCCGTGCACTCTGGCTTCCGTCACGGTGCTCCGTTGCGCCAGAAGCAGTTTAGTCATGCTGGCCACATGACCCAGAAATCTGTCTGTGGGCAAACGCCAGCTCCCTCGGCCTGAACGAGATGAGTGCTGCACCCCCTAGTCGCCTTTGACTGGACTTAACCATCCAGGGGTCCTTTACCTTTACCTTTTACCCAGAGCCCTCCCTCCCAAAGCTGAACAAGCACTTAGTAGGCTGAAGACTCTAGGACCCTGCTGGAGCTCTTGCACCGCCTTCCCAAACTGGACAAGAAGCATTGGGGGGCGTCCAAAGTTTCCTGGCTTACCTTGGAACTGAACCCTTGAAAAGATGCAAGCTTACTGTATTGAAATGTGAATATTAATATGCTTTGAATCAAACTGCTGGGTTACTAATTATGAAATTAGGGGATGGGGTAAGACACAGAGCTACAGAACAAGCCATGTTATTATTAAGAGTGATATCAGACAAATAACAGAACCATAAAATGTTAGAAACAAATATGAAAAACGTTAGGAGGGAATATTCAGAAGTAAGATACATTCCACTTAGTTAGCAATGGAATTGTACTGTGCCAGATGCTTTGTTTTTCTATTCTTCCACTCAAGCACTGATACATAGAATCAAGAACCACAAACCTATGGTGGTTGTTCTTGGTGTATTTGTTCTTCAGGGTTCTGTGAGTAGCTTTGTTCTGTTCAGCCATAGGCCCACTTTTTGAGGTTAAAACAGTAGCAGAAATGATAATGCAATAATCTTTTGCCTGGCTTTAACAGGAACACTCAGACAACCCATGGGATAAAGTATCTGTTAAACTCTGTTTCTCTGGAATGTCGCTCTCTTCTTTCATGGCGTACCATAAACATTGCATTAGTGAAGATGATGCCGGTCACATGCCAAAACTGGTAACCTTTTCTTTCAACTCTTAAGATTTATATAAAGCTTAAATGTGTATGTTAGTTACTGTGGCTATTTATCCTGCATTACAGTTCTTCCACGTCATATCCAGCATTTTCAGTTGGAAGTTAATACAGTTGCAATGGCTGGCAAATCAAACAATGTAATTCCTTATTAAATCCAAAAGCAATTTGCTACCAAATGCAAGATGTAAAAAGGTCACAGGCTCAAAATTAAGGTTAGTACCTCTGGTGGGGGGACACATGCTCCTGGGGGTAGTTTGTCCACATTTGGTCCCCACCCTGCAGTTATAATAAGGTGTTAATTGTTTCATTTAAGGGCTTGTATTGTACCTGCACAAATGCACTATACACCAGATTAGCCCTGATTTTTTGGCATGAATTTAATTTTTTTCCAGAGTGCTTGATTGCAATCCAAGGGATTGAAAATGTTTTGAGACAAACCACTGCTGCAGGCATTAGCTTGCAAGTCAGTTAATATACTTTTAGAAATTAAAACAACTTCTTCCCTTCTCATATGTTCTAGGATATCACCTATTGCAGTGAAGATCATTTGGAGCAAAACTGTGAAATCAGTCATGAGGTAAATGTTAAAATATGTCAATGGATTTCTTGGTTTTCAAGCTTGATAATGTGTTGAAGCCAGTTTGGTATCTACCACCTTTTGTGACTCCAGCCCAGCCACTAACATCCATTATAGTTTGTTTTGAGTGGATCAAGTCTGTAAGGTTTTAGCGGTGGGGGAGACATTGGATCAGTTCTGATGCCTTTCCTGAAAGTGGGTTTTGGGATAGGGTGTACATTAAGTGTGCAGTGGTTGGTGATTAGCCCAAATTGGACATCTTTAATGAAATGCATCATACTGCATTTTCCCAGCATTTTAAAACGGCACAAACAAGCTCTATTCCTTGCTCCCCCAATAGCACACCAATCTGAATAGTGAGTCTTGCACAGAATAGTCTCCATGACATCACTGGCACCAACTTTATTCATGTGCACCCAGGTTGCATTCCTTGTCATTCTCTGTGCACAGCTCATATTGCTGCTGCTTGCATCTCTAGGCACATAAAGATTTCCTGCTTCTTCCTTTTTCCTAGGAATTACTGATGTCTGAAGTAGATACTCCCCTGCTGCCACCCTATATCTCGCCATCACTGCCTGTTCTTGGAGAACTTTTTCCAATTAAAGTAACACATGTTGTGTCACCTAATGAGGTATCGTGGTGAAGTAAATATTTTTGCTGTTATCGGGTCTGTTGTAATTGCATCCTTTCACAGCAGCTCATCCTGTGTTTTAGAACTTGAACTTGTGAGAATTAGGATTCTTCACAATAGTTACATCCATTGTTTGAGATGTATAATGATAGCTTTCGAAGCATGACATAAGACTTCCTAAGAAGCTGTCTATGGCTTATGGGCACTTGCCATGGGCAATTGCTAGTATTTCTAGTATTGATTCCATTCAGATAGTCAAAACTGGGAGACTGGTCCATCCTGTATGTTGGACGATGCTCTCACTTCAAGATCTTTGATATATATTTTTGATATATGACACCAATTACTGTGCCCTAGGTGTACATTACCATTGATCAGCGAGACAGTCCCAACCATGAAGATGATACAGAAGTCAGTGGGGACGTTGAAACTCTAGACCAAGCCTTGAGACGGTGTAATCAGAACTTGGAGTCCATCCCTTTCCTAACTGATTTTCGGAAAGGTATACAGTCATACCTCGGGTTACAGACTCTTCAGGTTGCTTTTTTTCAGGTTACGGACCGCCGAAACCCGGAAGTACCGGAACGAGTTACTTACCGGTTTCGGCGGTCACGCATGCACAGAAGTGCCAGATCACAACCAGCGCATGCACAGACGCGCCGCTGCGGGTTGCAGACGTGCATCCCGCACGGATCACGTTCACAACCCAAGCATCCACTGTATTATTTCTTGGTAATTTGCATTTATACATTCTGTAATTGAAGGTGAAAAGTTACTTAACTACTTTAGAACAAAACTTCTCTACGGTCTCCTTGCATTCAGAATCAAATAAGAGAAAACAGACTTATTTATTAAATTTGTACACTGCCCTGTACCCATAGATCTCAGGGTGGTTCACAGCATATAAACTCCTGAAAGCTGTTCATTTATGCTTGTTGTTATAAAAAAACTATGCAATGAATTCTCTGAGTTTCTGCTGAACTTCAGATAGTGTAGTGATGCTAGTACAGTGGTACCTCGGGTTACCTACGCTTCAGGTTACATACTCTTCAGGTTAAAGACTCCGCTAACCCAGAAATAGTACCTTGGGTTAAGAACTCTGCTTCAGGATGAGAACAGAAATCGTGCTCCAGTGGCGCGGTGGCAGCAGGAGGCCCCATTAGCTATAGTGGTGCTTCAGGTTAAGAACAGTTTCAGGTTAAGAACGGACCTCCGGGACGAATTAAGTACTTAACCCGAGGTACTACTGTACCATGAGGTTGCAATAATTTAGCTGAGGCATCACTAATCATGAAAGTATCTCATGATAAATACTGGGCTCCATTAAACTATAGAAAGTATTTATTAAAATATAGTAGGGTGTTTTGATGTGTGTTATTCTGTTCTCCTTCGGGTGTTGGAAGTCTCTCAAGTGGGTTTAGCTGTCACTCCACTTCTTGCAGGACTTAAAAAAAACACACCAGATCGTGATGACTGGGAAAGGGGTTGACAGCCATGGAGTGTTTCTGGCACACAGTAGCCATCTGCAAAACTTTATCTACAGTTTCTACTATTATGAGATGTGATAGCTAGGGAGCCATCCCATGAAGCTGAATGTTGGAAGATCAGTAGGATGTAGAACGCAAGCCTAAATCAATTCCTTTGGATAATTTTATTTAATGCCTTCCCAGTTTTGCTTAGCAAAAGGTGATCCACGATGCAATATAAATGGTTATAGGAGGGGGTACCCTTTTTTCAGCTGGAGGACTTCACTCAACCATGATCAACCCTCTGCATATCAAAGTGGGCGTGGTCAAAAACCCTTTTTTAAAAAAAAGAATTGGTAAACATTTGGGGGCACAGAACCTTTTGGTATCACAGTAGAGAACTTATGAGAGCAGTGAGTTTAGAACCTCTGCAAATTAACATTATTTTAAAAAAGAAATGGGGGGTGCATAAAACTTGGGAGCCAGATGCAGGTTAACCACCCATGTTGCAGTATTGGGTGCTGAAATTTAAACAGCTTTTCTCCCTTCGTTAGACATGCCTTGCCTTGCAAAGTACAGTGATGGCTTCTGGTATCGGGCAAAGCTCATCTCAATTCATGAATGCAATCCTCTTTCGATTATGGTGGAATTTGTTGACTATGGATCCAGTGAAACAGTGCCCACAAGCCGGTAAATCTATACATTGCTCATGTATTAGTGCAAATTGCTATTCAAGACAGGTGAAACTAAGATCAGACATTGGTCTGTACAGAATATACATATTAACATCATTTTACCACCACTTTGTAGCAGCTAACAAATTGCTTGTAGGCTGCCATCTTGAATAGTGTTATTCACTGACTTTAATTTTGTCTCAGGTTACGTCAGCTTCCTCCTGAGTTCATGCAGTACCCTGCTCAAGCGTTCAAAGTTCTGCTGGCTGGATTTAAACCAGCTTTGTGTGAGTCACACACAAAAATCCCATATTGTTCCGAATGGAGCATGGAAGCATTGTGGACCATGATAGACTGCTTCCAAGGGAAAAATCTCTATGCTTCTTCACTGGTAAAGTCTTCCCTTATTTTATCCCAGCCAACTCTTCCCATCCACAGACTTAACTGTAAATTCCCTTTCCCACTTTCAGTATTCAGGTGGAATTTTAAAAGGTTCCTGTTCACCCGGCAACCTTGAAATTACTTGGCTTCAGATTGATCTTTTAAAATGTTTTAAAAAGAAAACAGTATTATTGCTGTTTCATTGTTTATCACCCTGGGATCCTTTGGGTGGGATAGGACTGCAATAAATAAATACAAGTAACTTGCAACTTACACATATTTAACTTGCACACATTCAGCTTTATGTTCTTGATTTAAAAAAAATTAAAAGGGGGAGGGTGTCTGGGGGAAAAGAACAGCACTCCCACCCTCCATTGAACCCATTGTGTTTCGACTATACAAAAGATTTTGGCTTTTCACACTATCCCTGGAACGCAACCCCCATGTAAGTTGAGGGTCTCCTGTACACAAATTAAGTTCCAAGGCCAGTTTGAACCAGCACTTTAATTCTTGCTATCTCATTCATATGATTTCCTTTGAATGATTTTTAGAGGACGGGGGGGGGGGGCAAGCTTTAGCCCAGTCCTGTTTTTTCATTCATAAGGCTTATTATTCTGCAACTTGCTGTCCACACCACTGAAATGTATCTCAGCTGCGCTTTCCTGTCCCCTCCTCAATCACTCCCCCCCCATCCTCCACTACCTTTTCCCATTCTCGACAGGTATTTATGTACCTTTAAAAAAGCTGCAGGCACTGCACTACGCATAAAAGTTGACAACTTTATACAGCCAGTCATTCATGTTTCACATTAGACAAAACGAAGGTTTGGGGCGGGGGGGCTGTTATACCAATTTCTACTGGTTGTTCTTTAAATTAAATACTACAGTCTGTGCAAGAGTGATAAATGTTGCCTGTAAAACAACATTTCCATATTTGGGGCTTTTTGTGAGGTGGGGGGATGTCAGTATCTTCTCAGAACACTCCTTAGTGAAAGCCTACAATTCTGTCTTGGAATGGTTTCATCAAACTCACTCCAGCTGTGTGCCAGCTCTCTATAATTGAGTTTTGCTTAGGAAGCAGACAAGATTTGGATAGCCAAGAACAGAAGTTTAGAACTCTTATCATTGTATAGTTTTGGAAACTCTAATATGTACTGATTCTCAAAAGTTGCCTGTTGACGTTGGCCGTATATCTTACTTGCAGACGCATTCACCAGAGCATACCGTGTTTGTATATGAAGATGGGCACCTAGTTCACATGAAACTAGTAGAAATGGGATTTGCCGAATTAATTTAGTGACTGGTAAGCACACTCAATTTCATCTATTAAAAGCTTTTTTGTCCTACTCTTCGACTTTAAAGGGTCACAAGGGAGCTTGCAGATCAGTAGAAACACAAAGGCTGCCCTTGTCCTCAAGGTTACAGTCTAAAAGATAAAAGGAAAAAGTAATGAGGGAAGGGAAAGGTTGGCACTTTTAGTAACGTTGCAGTTCTTACAATAACTGGCCAGGATGGAAACAATCCATGTAGCTTGGTGGAATGGCCTACTATTGGTTGTCAAATGCGAAGAACCAGAGATTAATAAAACAACTGGTAGAGAAGTATCTGAATTCCTACCCTTCACCAGAAGGTCTTGGGGTAGGCATGTAAAGGCACATTAAAACATTGAAAACTCTGCCACTCACAATCCCCAAACAGGAATTGCATAGACACATTTGTATTTTATCAGCTTTAAGATGGTTCATTTTGTAGTCTCAATAAGAAAATAAAGGCTTTAAAAAATGAAAGATTGTATCGAGAGGGCATTTTTAAAAACGTAGGAAGAGTCCTACTGGATCAGGACCCTCTCGTCCAGCACTCGGTTCTCACTGTAGACAGCCAGATTCTGAATGTGTGCTCTCCCCCCACCTGCAAATACCAGCAACTGGCATTTAGGTAAATACGTTCTAAAATAATTTTGGAAATTGTTGCAGATTCTGCTTAGAAGCAGTAGGCAAACTGTAATGAAAAACGGACAACTTCAACAGATGTCCAGATTTTAAAATTATATACCTGCATTAGTAACTCAACCAATGGAATTTTTGCATGCCAATTTGTCATAGAACAGAATAAGTATAACTAGCATTTTAATAAACAGAAGTTACCAACGTTTTTGGAGCGAAAGACACATTTTGAATGGTGTATGGCTAAACAAAATGAGAGTTTGGCCATGGTGAAGTTTTTCCTATAATTGTATTTCTGTACAAGGGTTAATGTGTTAAATTTCTTAGAAAATAAAAGGAGGGAAAGTGCATTAAAGGGGCTGAGAAAACAAGCTCTTTAGGACCTCAAGCAATTCATCAGTCGCAGCTCTGACTTGACTTACTGGTGAAAAACAGAGATGAGCGGCAAGACTTGCTCATTTCATAGAAATTGTTTAGACAGGTGCTTGCAGATTTTGCTTCATATTTTGCTTAAGAGGGATAGACACACTTCTTAAAATAAAAGCTTGGAGTCTGGGCCCCTGCTAGGAATAGGAGGAAAGAGATTTGAAAGTCTAAAAATGGAGCCAGGTAAAGGTTACCTTGAAAGAAATGTGACCCTCAGCCTCATCTCCTGTCAGAATTAGTGTAGCAAAGCATGCAGCAAGTCGTGATGCCAGTTGCCCACCTTGGCTTTTTTGCTATGGGAGAACATGTAACATTTTAATACTACAACATCAAGGCAAGGGTTGCAGGCTTTGACATTTTGTTTGTTTGTTTTTCAGATGCAGATCATTAGATGAAAACAATACCAGAACAAAGAGATTTCATTTGGATTTGTTTGTTTGTTCCCTGATAAGTGCAGTTACCTTTTTTGTTGCAAGTTGTTGTAATACTTGCTTTGTGCAAGTACTAAAGGATGTTCATTAAAAATTGTTCTTGAAGCAGAAAACATCTTGCTTGTGTTGGTTTATTAGGTTAAATAAGTGTAAGATGCGGGTTTACTGTAAAAAGGAACAAAGTGTGTATGATTGCTTCAAAATGGTTATAACCTGCTTTGGCAACAAGTTGTTGTCCGAAAACAAGAAACAGAAAGTTTAAGTGTCATTTTTGAAATGTATTGCTATTTACATATTAGGACTTGTGTGAGTAGGAATAGCCTTAATCTTTAAAAACAAGTTTATTGACAAAACATTTTTACTATGTACAACCTTTACAAACATTTTCTGAGAAGAGAAAACATGGATAAATATTAAGACCTGAACAAAATATGAACTTTTAGAGGATGGTGTCCACAATAATCTCACCATCCTTATCTTTAACTCTAACTCGACCTGAAGCATACTGCGTTTCTTGGCGTCCATCGGCATACATTGTCTTAACGGTACCGTCTGGATACTCCCGTCTCTTGAAATGGGCTGTATGCACTTCTTGCTGGCCATTACTGAACTCGATAACCTTACTTCCATCCCTTAAAATAGAAAGGCAACCTTTAAAACCAATGTAATGTTATAGCTAAATTCTGCTGGGAGGTACAATTAAGAATGCAGCTAATTGTTCTAACTGCCATACCTACTACAGCCTGCCTACTTAAAACGTAACTTTAAGCAGCATCTCTGCCTCATATCATTTGGGTTCTTCCCAATGTGTACTTTCAGCACAACAAATCTTGGCCTACACAGGAAGTATTCTTAAATTGCTGAGATTATCATCTTGTACTCCTGCAGCTGACCAGACTGGGTAAGGGTAGCATAAAGACTGTCATAACACAGTCAGCACTGAAGATTTTGTTCTTGACAGCCTTTCTCTTCCTCCACAGTCTTGTTTCCTCAAAAGGCATTCTTAATGTGAGTCACTACTTTTTCTATATAGGACACGGGTGGCGCTGTGGTCTAAACCACAGAGCCTAGGGCTTGCCGATCAGAAGGTTGGTGGTTCGAATCCCCACAATGGGGTGAGCTCCCGTTGCTCGGTCCCAGCTCTTGCCAACCTAGCAGTTTGAAAGCACGTCAAAATGCAAGTAGATAAATAGGTACCGCTCCAGCGGGAAGGTAAACAGCATTTCCGTGCGCTGCCCTGGTTCGCCAGAAGCAGCTTAGTCCTGCTGGCCCCATGACCTGGAAGCTGTCTGCGGACAAACGCCAGCTACCTCGGCCTATAGAGCGAGATGAGCGCCGCAACCCCAGAGTTGTCTGCGATTGGACCTAATGGTCAGGGATACCTTTACCTTTACTTTTTCTATACAGTAAATGCAGTCCAAACTTAACACTTAAAATAGTTTTATGAAAATAAATCTTACTGCTGTGTGCGGACAATGGTGCCATCAGGGAAAATGGTCATTTCTCGCCCATCCGTGTACACATTCTTAATGGTTTGATCAGGGAATACAATCTCTTTCCTTCCATCTGGAAAATGCTTTTCTGCAAGGAATGAACAAGCATACCTCATGTCAGAATACTGATACGCCTTGTAAGTACCGTATTTTTCGCCCTATAGAACGCACCAGCCCATAGGATTCACTTTGGGGGGGGGGGAATAAAGAAAAAATTTATTTCCCCCCCAGGTGCGGACCCCAGCCCCCAGAACAGGCTGCTATACACTAGCCATGGGAGAGCCCCCCCCCCCGAGCCCCAAAGAGCAAAGAAGCCATGACAACGAGCGGGATGGATCCCGCTCGCTGTCCTGGCTTCGTTTTTAGCCTCGGGGCTGGAGGTCTGGGAGCGATGGCGAGGTTGTGCAACCTCGCCATCGCTCCTGGAGCTTGCCTGCGGGGCTGGGGGCGGGGGAAGCCCGAGCTTCCCCTGACCCCAGCCCCCAGAACAGGCTGTTGCCCGCAGGCCTTGCAAGCCCGCGGGAACTCCCCTGGGCGCGCAAGGCTTGCGGATAGCTTCCTGAAGCCTGGAGAGTGAGGGGTCGGTGCGCACCGATGCCTCTCGCTCTCCAGGCTTCAGCGAAAGCCTGCATTCGCCCCATAGGACGCACACACATTTTCCCTTCATTTTTGAATGGGAAAAAATGCATCCTATAGGGCGAAAAATACGGTAGTTCTTGCAATTTAATGGTGTGCCACCAATACACACAAATACACAGCAATTTATAGAGCAGTACAATAAAAATATTAATTATTATTAATACCCCACCCATTGGCTGAGTTTCACCAGCCACTCTGGGCGGCTCCCAGTCGAGTGTTAAAAACAATACAGCATTAAATATTAAAAACTTCCCTAAACGGCTACAAGAAAGACAGCCAGGTCTCCGTTTACCTATTTGTCCATTTGAGAAATGTAGGACCTCTAAGCCTGTGGGGTAGGTGGTGTGCGTAGTCTTGGCATCTGCATAATAGTATATCTGTTGAGAAGAGTTAACAGATTTAGCATTAATAGAACCTTCTGGCCATATCTGAATGGCACATACTTCTTACTGGATACATACCACTCTCCGATCATCCAGAACTTGCTTTACATCCCCATTAAAGAAGGTTACAGTTGTAGTCTTCCCATCACAGCTCACTTCTTTCCGTGTGCCATTGGGGAAAATAATCAGGTGGGATCCATTTTTTAAAATCTTTTCAACCTGAAAGAAGTGAAATAAAAGCATATATCGTAACAATTCTGACTGAATTTCTACAGACTAAGCCAAGCAGAGAATAAGAAAGGGGAAGAGGCCAAAACAAACAAACCCAAACAGAGCTTATCTGATAATAAGGGATAGTATCCCTCCCACTTCTAAATACGGTGCCCTTAGAAATCAAGAGTATGGGGCATGCTTCACAAATCCAGAGGCCCAGAAATTGGATGTAGGATTTTTCTTATTTATTTGATTGCGGATTACATGAGTGGGCCACACACACTCAAAAGAATAATAATAATAATAAATTTTATTTATATCCCGCCCTTCCCAGCCGAAGCCGGGCTCAGGGCGGCTAACAACAATCAAAATAGTCCAACATTCTAAAAACATTCATTATAAAATTAATTAAATCAAATTAAAATCAAATTAATGGCAACCATCAAGCAAAATTCTGTGCAGATTGCCAGAGGAGGGGGTCAGGCTGCGCCCTGACCAAAGGCCTGGTGGAACAGCTCTGTCTTGCAGGCCCTGCGGAAAGATGTCAAGTCCCGCAGGGCCCTAGTCTCTTGTGACAGAGCGTTCCACCAGACTGGAGCCACAGCCGAAAAAGCCCTGGCTCTAGTTGAGGCCAGCCTAACCTCTCTGTGGCCTGGGACCTTCAGGATGTTTTTGTTTGAAGACCATAAGTTCCTCTGTACCAGGAGAGGCGGTTGCGTAGGTACGAGGGTCCTAGGCCGTATAGGGCTTTAAGGATTAAAACCAGCACCTTAAACCTGATCCTGTACTCCACCGGGAGCCAGTGCAGCTGGTATAGCACCGGGTGAATGTGATCTTGCAGCGAAGACCCCGTAAGGAGTCTGCACCCGCTGGAGTTTCTGGGTCAGTCTCAAGGGCAGCCCCACGTAGAGTGAGTTACAATAATCCAGTCTGGAGGTGACCGTCGTGTGGATCACAGTGGCTAGGTCAGGGCGAGAGAGGTAAGGAGCCAACTGCTTAGCTTGGCGGAGATGAAAAAATGCCGCCTTTGTTATAGCTGTAATCTGCACCTCCATGGAGAGGGAGGTATCGAAGATTACACCCAAACTCCTAACAGACGGTGCTGGCACTAATTGCACCCCCGCAAGAGATGGGAGTTGCCTCCTCAATCCCATATTGTCCCGTCCCAGCCAGAGGACCTCTGTCTTTGAAGGAATTAACTTCAACTGGCTCCCACGTAACCATCCAGCCACAGCTTCCAAACATCTGATCAGTGTGTCTGGGGCCGAGTCAGGATGGCCATCCATCAACAGATAGAGTTGGGTGTCATCAGCATACTGATGGCAGCCCAGCCCAAAACTCTGGACAAGCTGGGCGAGGGGGCGCATAAAGATGTTAAAAAGCATCAGGGAAATTATCGCACCCTGAGGCACTCCACACACCAAGGAGTGGCGCGATGACAATTCCCCCCCCCAAGCGCCACCCTCTGTCCCCGGCCAGAGAGAAACGAGTGCAGCCATTGAAGGACTGTGTCCTGGATCCCCACGTCGGCAAGGCAGTGGTCCAGGAGTTCGTGATCGACCATGTCGAAGGCTGCTGACAGGTCTAGAAGAATCAGCAGCCCCGACCCGCCTCGATCCAGCTGCCTGCGGAGATCATCTGTTAGGGCGACCAGAGCCGTCTCGGTCCCATGACCAGCGCGGAAGCCGGACTGGAATGGATCCAGAGCCATCCCACCCCCTTTCTGTAGGCAGATCACTCTCAAGTTAGGCCTTCACATAAGCACAAGCGTTTCTCTGTGGACTGAGAAAGATCATACAAGCCTGAGGTTCATTCCCACATTTGCTGTGGGGCATAACCATTAACTGTGGCTGAGCACGACCCGACCTTGAGTATTATGCAAATGCATGGGAAACAGCTGCAAGACTGTATAAAAGTAGGCAATTTGGTTTCCTCTGCATAATAGGGACTGGACCTAAATTCAGCATGAAATTCAGCAAAACTGTATTGAGAAGACTGTTTTTATTTACAAGGGCCTTGACAGGACCACCTAATCCCTGCCCAATCACTGCGGTCTTTGGCAGAGTCATTTTTAGTGGGTCTACTGTGGCAAAGATGGAAGCCATGCATTTAGTACTGCAGGCCCAATTTGGTGAAGCTCCCTGAACTTCCAGACTTTTATTCCAGGACACTTTAAGTCTGGTTTTACAGTTTTAACCAATTTTCACCTTTTCTGATTTTTTATTTCTTGTACAGTACTTAGCTACGATAGTAGTTAAGTGGTATATGAATATGAAAAATACATAAATAGTTACCACCTCTTATTTTTCCCTGCATTCTTTGGGCTCCATTCTGAAAATTAGGCAGAATGGCATAAACATCTAGTTCAGATCCAAAAAGGCTCCC